CAATTACACATCGTTTAAAAACGGGTAGAGCGGATAGAGTTCCACCTTCACGTTATGTTAACCTCCGATGAATGTGATATCAAATTCGAAGGGAATTCAAAGTACTTCCCTGTCTGTAGTGGAAGCGGAATCGTGAATCCTAACGGTTAAATCGGAAAGAATCATAACCTTTTGTAGACAATTCGATTTAGGGCTTAAGCAACTGTACTTTTATTGCTATTCCTTTTACTGCAAAGCTTTCGTCGATCTACGGCATCGTCAGGGAATGTAAAGAAAATATTCTCATATGCAGTAAATCGGCGAAAGCTTGGACAGGAGGTCAAGGCCTCAATCGAACCGTCCAGTTAATCAACATGCAACTGAAGGACAACTCTAAACGTCCACCTGGACCTTGGAAATCATGAATTGTGAGCTATGGTTAAAAAATTAGTCATGAATATCATAAAAGATTTTAGTAATCATCATAGAGCTGAAAAGAGGCAGGAATCACAAAGTAAAGTAATTCCGCTTCCACCTGACTGGTATATATTTAGAGCAGATAACGGTTATAGATTTGAAAACTATGGTTTTAACACGGGTATGAGTTACGAGGGAATCAGGAGAGCCTATAAAATGTCCTCGTCTCTTCAACTCCAAATCAATAAAGGAGGGTGACACGAAAACAAAGTTATCGCTCGAGTGGAATTTTCGGGTGACTTTTACGCCTATAGGAAGGTTTGAAAACGGATATGGATTTGAGAGATGGGGTTTCTGAAAGAAACAAAATGGATTAATTAGGGTGTCAGAACCTACTTCTCTTATCTTTCAATTTTCATTTCCAAATATGGCTTCGATGCCGACAAGTTACCAGGACTTTCCAGGTCTGAAAATGGAAGCGGAAAGTAACTAAAACTGGAGTTAAGATTAAGAGAACTGGGCGGCTCATCACACCAAAACATGTTTATTTTGTATCCCTACTGTCACGGTTCACTTCACGGGTCATTATTACGTTTTGGCGAAGGGAACAAAGATAGATACAAGAATGCGGACAATATCTGAGCTGCACCCAGCTATGAAGTATCTTGTTTACGACGTAGGTGGGGGTTACATTTCCTCTTTTCCGCAAGCTCTTAAGTAATCGAGATTTTTGTTTATTTTTTTTATTTTTTTTTTTTTGTCGCGGCAGATGACTGACGGCAAACGGGGATTTCTGCTTTAACTTCTGGTGTTAGTTATTATACTTTGTTTTCGGCGATGAAAAGGCGGTGATGAAATGGCCTCAGTAGATGAGAAAACTAGTTTAATCCACTAGGAATACAAAGGAAACTGACGGCAATTTTACTGTACTTCAAAAGACAGCCTAAGTGACGATAAAGGAGTGATACTTCACATTAAACCAGCTTTTGTAGTTCCTAAATGATCCTGAAGTTCTGGCACGCAAAGGTCTGAGCATATTTTTTACACAACCGGAAAAGGATGTTGTGAGAATGAAGGGTGACATCGTGAACAAAACAACATCATAGAGCGCTACTACTGGCAGTAGAGAACGTAAAATTGTGAGGATGTTTTAAGATACGAGTCGTGAGATTGATAATATGCTTTGGAAGATAGGTACACACAGGTTTCAAACATGATACTTCAAACTATTGAATTTCTCGATTGAACACCGGAAGTGTTCCTTTTGTCACCGCGGTAGGTCAAGTTCCCTCCCACTTTCGTTTACCCATGTCAACTAGACTTCAGCAGACTAATTTCATTCAAATCAAATGCCGAGTCGGCAGTGTAGGTCTCATCAAAGCAGAAGCGAAAGTTACAACATCGGAAGTGTTACGTATGTCGTTAGGGTAAGTCCAGATCCCGCCCTCTTTCGCTTCCCTTGTAAACAAGACTTCCACAAACTGAATTCATTCGAGCCAAACGCTGAGTCGAAAGTGTTGGTCTCATCAAAGCAGACGCAAGAGTTACAACAAAACAGCGTGTTCTCTAGTTTCGGTAAGCTCTTACAAAGCGGTACTCACTGGTCTGATATGTTGAACAACCTTCGTTCGCTGCGGCAAATCAGTTTCCTTTCAGTATTTGGCATTGCGTTACTCACGTTAGCGCAAATTCCGCACGGCGGGTGTGAAACAGGTGAGGATTGCCATGTTTGAATTGAAATTTTACAAGATGGACAAGATTTAGAATTTCCAAATTCTTCCATATTTAGAAATGTTGCTATGTTTAGCTCAGATTCAATTTTCCGCTTAATGCACGATCGTGAGAGAAGAAGTGTTGCTTTTTGCTTGTTGTGTTAAATTTAAAACAACTTTAGATGTACCAAGTCTTTGCCTTGCTCGGCTCGAGGAACTTCTTTGCAAGGAGTAATGATCGACGTATTTAAATAGCGTTAGTCATTGTTATGTAGATGACACTCAATCAAGTCAGTTTTTAATTGTTTCAAACTGCGCATCCTTCTTTCTCTATGCCAGCCGGCTTTAAAACACTAACATCATTAAACTTATGTTAATACTCGTATCACTTAAAGACTGAAATTACAGTTCAGCGTAGGATGTTCTGCACTGATAGTGATTCTGGTTTAGCTTGTCTTAATAACCTATCGACTTTGCTTGCCGTTCCCTGGCAGATAAATGAAGAAATGAATCTTTAGTGCAGTACATTAAAATGTACGGTCGTGATTGTGGATAGTTTCCTTAATGAGTCAAAAGTCTTATCTCAACGGGGCTCTCGATTTCTTTTATTTTAGTTTCTGTCATTTCGAAAAAGTTACTTTCGTAAACCATAAAAAATACGAACCTAAGTTAGAATATAATCATTTCGTTTTCTCCGAAGAAACTGAAACATTTCCAGACGTCAAATGGATTCGATTTAGTTAAATCCCGGCTTTTCTCGTAATTATGAAGTCAATTTTCATTTCCGCATTGTAGAATGGTTAGTTAAATCCTAGCTTTTCTCGGAATTATGAAGTCAATTTTCATTTCCGCCATTGTAGAATGGTCTGTTCTTGTCTTTGATCACAGTTAGTCAGGAACTGTTAAAAAAACAAATAATCACATCGATGAGCCTTGAAATACTTCAGATACAATCGAATTAATGCTTCTATTTTTGGAAGTAACTTAAGTTACCTTAGGAAGAGAAAAAATTTTAAAGATTTTATCATGTGGTGTTCGACAACTGTTCTTCGTTCTACACCAATTTTCAGTAAATAAAAGAGCGGATGCAAATTCCTCTATTCGAATAGCTAATTTTTTAAGGAGGTCACGCCATCACCCAAGAACTGTATATTAAGTAAATTAAATATACCTAATTTATAATACAGGCATTCTGGAGCAAAAGCATTGATCTTTTTCACGTTGTCTCAAGCTCTTGAATGTTTTAACAATAGATGGGTTTACTAAACTAACAAAGCCTAAAAACAGGCGAAGCTCTTGACATCATTTTTTTTTATAAACCTTGCACGTGCACGAGTAAGGGATAAAACTCTAATCTGCCAGTATACTCAAAATAGACCTGCCGTCTAACTCTTTAATCTCTTCGAGTGCAATATATCCCTTGAATTAAATGTTTGAGTGAGGAGAATAAAGGAGATGATCAGCGACTAACGAGACTCTTGATGGTTTTACAAATTCTCCCAGTTAGAACCTTGGAAATGTTCAGAGAACAGTATGGAGAATATGCATTATGATGTTAGGGTGTCAAGGGTCGATGAGTGCAAGAGAAATACAGACAGAAAAGAGAGGAGAGAGCCTTTAAAGTCACGAATCTAATTTAGGGCCCGGTCTAACTCAAATCAATCTAAGCACAAGAAAAACGAGACATGAGATCAAATAGGTAAAAAAAAATATTGGCTTTAACGTCAAATGTCGTCTTAAATCCAAATCTTAAAAGAATTTGAAACTTTTTCAGTGCATCCGGCCAATTGCAGCGGATGGATGCCGTCGAACATCCCAGACGTGTGGGAAGCGTGTGGTAATGGTCGTTACATCAAACGTACACTTTTAAAATGCAACGATAGCTCAGTTATAAAATTACTACGTTACAACTGTACGGACGGGTATGGATCGTCAACTAGCTGCAGTTGTGAAGGTAGGCTAAAAAAATCATATTGTGAAGTTTTCGTGCTTACACTCTGTCCGAGCGCAGTCAATCAGACTTCTACTTGCCTAAAAACACAAAAGCGTATCGCATGTTCTGCAAACCATAGTCTCTGCTTTAAAAAATCGACGGTTTCAAATTCTCCAACACTCGTATATTAGGACTCTCAGTAGCTTTTTGAGAGCATAAATAAATTGTGACAAATCTGGCAAAAATGATTGACACATCTTCGGTAGTATAGAGGTGAGCATCTCCGCCTGTCACTTGGGAGAACGGGGTTCGATTTCCCCCGGAAAGAATATGAATTACTTCTTTATTTTCTCTACATACTCTACCCCCCTTAACCCTTTAATTTAACTCCCAGATCAAATTTGTAATTTTCTTTACTATCAACCATACAATCCCTATAATGTTAGTTCGGAGAATTTAGTATTGGATCAAATTGTCACTTATCTGGTTGATATTGTATTGATATTGTAAGGAGAAATTCTGTCTTGGTCACTCATGGGAGTTAAAGGGTTAAACGATTTCCCAATTCTAAGCATCCACTTAGATACTGATTGTTTAAGATAAATAATTTCACCTTTCGGCTGAAATCGATTTAACATTTCAAAGTTAACATTAACTAAGAAAATTATTTCTTTTATTTAAGAAAAACCTACAGAGGCAGGAAAACGTGGAGTACCAGAAATGTTCCTCTATGGCTTAACAGTTGGAGCTGCTTGTATATTTTTCCCAACTCTCTTCTTTGTTTGTATGTTACATTGTTACAAGAAGAAGAAAGGAAAGGATAGATCTTTGAGCCAACAAAATGAAACGATACTTACAGAAACGCAGGACACGATAGAAGAAGACTTCAGTCCACCCAAAAGACACGCAGAAGAAGCTGAGACACAAAACGTAGGACAATCACAAGAATTGTCGGAAGTCAAAGGAAAACGCATCTACGAGAATGTTGTTCGCAAGGCCAATGATTCTCCGCAAAATAGCAAAGCAGGAGCTTCGGAAAGTCGTGCACCAGAAGCTACCGAAAGTGGCAACGAATTCAGCGACGGATGCAATCTGCAAGGTGTAAAACCTTCGGGAAAAACAGCTAAAGGTCGCAAAGGGTATCTTCAGATAAAACGGGAGAAAACAGGAGAAGGACATCCCTTGTACGAGAACTGCGAAGGAAGTCGGCGTTACATGCATCTCGCACCAGAGAACAAAATACAAAGAGATACACCCGATGCGAAAAGCGCAAAAGCGAAGGAGAAAGAAGACGCCAAAGGCCTTCGAAGTGTCAGCTTGCCCATTAAGACACAAAGAGAATTACCGAAGAATACTGGAACAGAGCCACGTTGTCAACCTTCTTCTCCTGCGTATGTTAACGCGCACATGGCGAAATTGATAGTTTCGGCAAAAAACACACCGAATGAAAAAACATGACATCATTCAACCATAGCTCATAAAAATAGCAAGTAAATTTTAAATCGCATAGTTACTGGAGCGAAACTTTTTTTAAACAATATTTTAAAAAAGTTTAAGCTTGGAACACCTTTAAGAAGGCCTTCTGAGGATTTCTTATTTCACTCAAAGTATTAGAAATGTAGCTATGATTCTCGTTTTACAACATCGTACCTCGCTTTTAGGCTTGTAGGGATGAAAGTATAGTCTCTCTGTTTTTTCCCCCTATCGCAACACATATATTATATATATATATATATATATATATATATATATATAAATCTTGATTATAGTCTATCCTTGCGGTATAGTGCTCGATGCGTTCGCAGAGCGTGGTACATCTGAAAGTTGGACAAATCAATAAGACAACTTTTCTGTGACTCTGAGTTTTCACCTAATATGAAAACTCAGAGTCACAGAAAAGTTATGTCTTATAAATTTTTCCAACTTTCAGATATATAAATATATATATATGTTGCGATAGGGGGAAAAACAGAGAGACTATTGTTAAGAATATTCGTAACATCATTTATATACAATATAAATTTGCATAAAAGTAATACTTGAATTGTTGCGCAGTAACATTTTGTTTCTGTGGCGGCATGAAGACACGAGTTCATTACTTTTATTAAGTGATGATAATTCGGGTCGGCGAATCTATCTATTGCAACATACATCGCGCTCTACTCCTGCGAATCGAGCACTGTAAAACGGAAAAATCAATACACAGACTTCCTATATAGTTTTCGCATAAATATATATAAAAAAATTGTTTTGGAAACGTTTAGCTGGATATAATATTTCCACACGCTTTGCTGGTCGAGCTGCAGTCACAAGTACTGATAATTTCGCAGTAAACTTGTCCTGCTTACCTGAGGATATGAGCAAGTAACACAACAGTAGCGTAAAAAACTGTCGCAGAATGTCGTCTCCATTGGCGATTTTGGTCGATTTTGGTTGACTTTATGTATCTTCTGGGCTTAAGTATATTTCTCATGTCTCTCTTATGAGCCTATGTATTTTGAAAAGTGGTATAATCGTTCGGCTACTAATAAAAAGGCTAATGTGAAAGTGCTGTCGTTATATCTTAGTAGCGAAGGGAATCAGGACAATGTGTGTACTCATATATGAAGTAATTTGCAATCCATCGTGTTGATCGTACCTTCCTTCGTGGATGAAAAGGAAATTTAAATCAAAAGTACTTAAACTAAAATTCACTTTCACGAATTCGTGAAGAGAAGAAGGGAAAAAAAAAATAATAATAATAATAAATGAAAGAAAAAGAGTCCTCTCCTCCCCGGCGGGGAATCGAACCCCGGTCTCCCGCGTGACAGGCGGGGATACTCACCACTATACTACCGAGGACTTGATACCAAATTAGTGGAAAATTACAATATTTATTCATTGTCTTCTTAAGTCAGTGACAGTAGGAACGCGATTCCCAATATATTATATAAATATTATAAAACAAATAGATTCCAAGTTGCTGTGCGTCTTTTCAGTAGTAGATCACAAAGGACGTCAAAATGTGGTAAGAACATCAGTGACACACTCGGCTTCGCCTCGTGTGCCACTTTTTTGTTTTTTTGACGTCATCTGTGATCTATTACTGAACAGACGCACGGCAACTTGGAATCTATTTGTTAAATCTATCTATCTATCGACCTAACTTCTATCTTACTATCTATCTATCTCTCTATCTATACATATATTACACTGGTAATAAAGGTAAGGAGACTCCTTCAAGTTACGTTAGCGAGGGGAAAACTGTTTCCAACTTTTGTTGCATGTAAATGACGGTCTCAGGAAGGGTTATTGCGATCGATAAAAGGGCGACGCAGAGATATTCTAATTTTTTTACGTTGGTAATTGAAAGTTGTCTTTATTTAAAAGAAAATCTGAAAATAAATGCTTTCTAATAATATTCAAATACTGAAGTGACAGGGAAGAACAAAAAGTAACAAGGACGTTTGAGAGGATTCACACGGATTACACAACACGAAAATTCATGCCACGTCAGGTCGAGGCTTACCGGTGAGCTTTTCGAATTTTCGAGTAGAATAATTATTAAAAGAGACAAACAAGATTTTATTTCGTGGTTTGGGTTGAGGTTTCTGTTTAGCTTTTCTTTTTTCATTGGCGCCAAGCAAGAAAGTTTCCTCACTTGTGCGATGCGACCTAGCAAAATCAACAGTTAAAAGAAAAATGACATGTTTGCGGTTCCTAGAAGTTGTTGACCTGTAAGCCTCGACTTCGTGGGGTCATCCCAGACCTTCAGACCAGCAGCTAGGTACATTGTGTGAGAAATACAACAAGTGGCGTAGCTACTTCAACCACTGACTGAAAATTCACGTTCACATTGTAAACTGATGTTTGGCGGCTAGGCTATGCTTCATTCTCTCTAAGCTACAGTGCAAATCCCTTCTGACTGCTCGACAAATGACATGAGGTCTTTTTCGTCTGATCTGTAAACGTCTCTTCTCTAATGCAATGAGCAGGCGCAGACGCATTCAAAATTTGGTGGCAAATGTTAGTAAACCGTAGAACTATAATGAACATTATATCTGATACAATGTCTGTAGAAACTGGTGACGTGTTTCCGAACATGATTCTAACAACTTGTTGGGTCTGTAAAGGAAGAGAAGAAAACAATTCGTCATGTTAAAGAAAATTTCATTTGGGAATCTAATGCACCGATTGATCCGAAGGTCCAAAAACCGGAAGTATCAAGTCTTTCTAGCGGAAAACAATTATCAAATATGGAGGCGTTTGAGGTACATATTCCACTTTGGTGAGCGAATGGCTCAGGAGAAAAGGTCCATAAGGTCTCGGTTTTCAAGCTTGGTCAATGTGCAGAGACTCTTGCAAACTCTGTCTCCTTGGTAAACGACGGGCATTATAATATTTATGAATCTGGAGAGCACAATATTCTTACTTTGAAACAAAGGCCACGAAGAATGACTTAAGATGTCTTGGAAAGTAAGGTTGTTTGACGGTATAATCCAAAGCTTTGAGAGGACCAGAAATATCCTTGGGGTACTCCATCTTCTCCTCTCCCTATAAAAAAGAAAAGCGATTACAACCATTTATTGTTATAAAACGATATAGCATGATAGCAGGTCCTCATTAATAGCCCTGCAGGACGCGCGTTTCTCCGCCCATGGGAATATTTGACACGAGTCGGGGAGAGGTGTAGCGGGCATCTAACACTGGGATCAGTTCTAGACCGCATGCATGCAAACCTCTCACTGGGTCGCGCTGTTCAGGGCTCGTACTTCCTTGTGAGCGAGGAAGCGCCAAAAGATATGAAATCATTCATTCAAATAACACGAGCTATCACACTATAAGTGACCAACAGACCTTCGATGTTAAATTCTAGTACCGTCGTAAAATTCAGAAATATTTTATTGGGTTGATATTCGAGTACCTTGAGGAGTCCCATGTGAATTAACAGAGAAGATATGAGCCATTCCTCCTTGCAGTCCGCGGACTCGAGGGCTGGCTTCAAAACTGTTTCTAAAAATTTATTAAATAAACTTCATTACTTTGCAGCAATAATTTCACTTAAACATACAGCTACTGCGGTTACGGGATGGAGTTTGAAACCTTTAACCAGAAAACGTACAATAGAAATGGAATGCATTTTAAGGGAGAAATGTTAAAACATTTTAAAGAAGGTTAGAAAATTTGCAAAGAAAAAATTAAGACAATATCGAAGAAGAATTACCAGCCCATTCCATGAGCGCATCTTTGTCGTCTTTTAGAGCAACCGAGATCTGAAAAGAAAGACGGCCTCAAAATCAAGCTATAAAAGCAAGGTATTAAACTTGCCAAACAGTTTTCTACTACTGCACAAACACTGAGAAGGTTCGGTACCAGTTGACTGCTGAAAAATGTCATGCATGGGAGACTGGTACGCGAATGAGCTTTTAAGGCATACGCAGACCGTATGTGTCGATGTTCAATGCTGAAGGGAGGAGATGGGTGTCAAACTGAAGTATAGGGTTACGTAAGACAATTTAACAAATTTATTACATATTCAGATGGCATCAAAATGTGGTAACATTGATACGCTGATGTTCTGACTACATCCTGACGTTCTTTATGATCTATTACCATACAGAACCACGCCATTATAGAATCGATGTCTTACTGGGTAAAAAAGCAAAATGTTGTTATTGTTGACGTCACTTCTACGTCCGTCCTCCGGTAGATTATAAACAAGACGCAATCAAAACCCGCGTATAATTCAGCATCTGGTATAATAAATAATTTCACGAAAATAGTATCGACACTTACCGACACAAAGTATTTTGCCACTTTACTGGTTTCGTATAAATCATCCTGTCAAAACATAATCCAAGAAAACAATGACTTCAAGTGTATGTTGTAGCTACATAATAACTTTTTGCTTACTCCTCTTACCTTTAAATATTCTGTTAACAGCGATTTCCGTTGACTACTCGGTATGTTCTTGAATTTTTCCAGTGTTGGTGAATTAAAAAAGTCTTGGACACCTTCCATGTTCACCACCTAACATGAGTGTCAAAGTAAAGCAACACAAAAATAGATATTAAGCCTTTGTTCTTAGTTCTAAAATAGGTAGGGTGAAGACAACAGAGCCCAGTTGTTCGAAGGCCGATTGGCGCCTACCCATGGTTAAATTTTAATCGGGGTTTCTTTATTCCTTTATTGAAAGGCCTTTTTGGGATAATGTCCCGTGTTCTTTTTAGAGCATCAAAGTGTCATATTATAAACAAAAAGAATTCGACTGAATTTTCTTTTAAAGCTCTCAGTTCTGAATTCAGATTTCACACTAACTCTGGGTTATCTTAACCTAGCTTTGAACAACCCAGCCCAGTAAAGCAAGAAAAAGCCATATCAGGGCTCCTTGATGTCACTTCTCTTATCAGTTTTCTTGTCATAGCATAATGTGAGTTTTTCTGTTCGTTCGAAAGCAAGCATGTACTGTCTAGTTGACTCGAAATTCAACGACGGTCGGTAAGTCTCAAATTTGTGTTCACCACACGTGACGCACACGAAAGGCATGAATTTTCCCCCTCAATAGGCAATTTTCCCGCGTGCCACTCCACGCAAGGAACCTTGAACGGAAACAGAGACCAGAAAGGCGAACTGCAGGCTCTTCTTTGATCGCTACTAGTCCCTTTTCATTAAATCCCTTGTTTCTACAAGGGGAAGACTGATGACGAGCATTTTGTAACTTTCCAGAGTCACGAGTTTAAGAATGAAGATTACAGCAACGGAATACGGCAAAAAGTAAGGTCTGATTTTACACACTTCTCCAAACAGTCTCTTGTACATAGATAAAGCAATTTCCTTTTTTTTCAGTTTATCTTTGATAATCTTTACCTATTAGGGGTGGTCCTCTTGAAAAACAAAAACATAACCAAAAAAAAATTCAATACGAATAAAATTTCCACGTAAATAGTAAAATGCTCCACACATATCGATGACTGTAAAGTTATTTTGCAATGGATACAAAAATAACCTAGCGTACTCAGTCCGTTTTCTTTTTGATTTTAACAACATGCTCATCCTCTCAATCGCTTTTTTTACGGAGGATTAATGTGCTTGTTTGTGTGAGTTGTTTGCGTGCGAGTGGAAAGGGTGGGGGAAGGGAGGGGAGGGGGAAATCACATGACCCTATAGGGTAGATTTATCCATTTAATTCAAAAATCGGTTCAAACATCTTTACCGGTATTCGGCCCAAGCAAAAATTCTAAGCAAATTACTAATTATATTTCACACGCTATTTAATACTTCATTCAAACCACCTAACTATCACTATTTGTAAATAATAAGCAAAAATACGTCTATGAAATCTCTATGATAACTCTACAAACTCCCTTACAAAAAAAGCCCACAAAAACAATATAAAATCCCTTTGTAAATAATAAAAGTTAGCACAATCCTTTTGGAATATTTATAAACTACGCGCATTCCTTCCTTTACGGCGAGGTCCGTCGACCGAGTCAAAGAAATAAATAATGAGCTCCTGGCGAAATGTGAAATTGGTGTAAGCGTGCCGCTTGGAACTCTGGGAGTAAGTACTTTTCGTGCACCTAACTCCAAGAGTCCTGGGCAGCGCGCTAACATCAATCATTTTTTCGCTGATTTTTTTTTTTCGACTTCGCCGACAAGGACGGACTGGTCGTAGTCTGGCATATTTACTAGGTTTGTACTTTTATGTTATGAAGAAGCGGAAATGGAAGTAATCTATAGAGATAAAGCCTCCTTAATCTGATCGCAAGACTGAATAAATAATAGTTACATGTAAAATCGCATTAAAACGAACTTGCTTATAATACATATCTTACAACACTTTCTGACCGAAATTAAAGCTTCGTTTCACGAAAAGATTTCTTTAGTTGCCTGCCCGGTGTTTTTTCTTTCGATCATGAGGATCTATAGTTTTATAGGAAAAATGTGCAATTTCTTTGGCCAATCACAACGAACAGTATCTCCAAGTTAATCACGTGCAAAAAGAAACCGAACATATCGGTATGGTGTTGTCCCGCGCTTAACGCCGGTAAAATGTTTCCCGCGCTCTGTGCTAGTTCCATTTTTTACCGCCGTAGATGTAGATTATCATTTCGCCCGCTTACTATTGGGTGCAATTTTTTTTTAAGCCAGTTGTGATTGGTTAGATGCTATTGGTTTGTTTCCTGGTACCCAATAAGAATACCGATTTATCTACACACAATTGTCGAGGGCAAGAACAATTCAGTGTCATTTCCTTCATATTGTGATAAACAGGATGCATGTGATGTGATGCCACGAACAATGACAATAAATTAAAAATGTTACCTATAATTAAAGCATAAAAATTCCACTAAAAAGGAAATCTAGTTGAGTGAAAACCATAATTCAGTGAACTGGCTCATATATTGACTGCTAATCACAATCTCTATCATTCTTTATTTGATTTGTCCCTTGGTGAGCAATGTCCCTGTGTGGAAGGCAACGAAAACACCAATTAGCGCAACACCACTTCCACACTTTCAAATTAAGGTCACTAAGATATCTTTAAACAGTCACCCAAAATGTTGTCTTTTTAAAAGGCCCAATACTTTAAATTAGCCAAGAGATATAAAATTCAGAAATATCTTGTATGAAACCATACATGTAAATGTGCTGCTTTTGAATAAACAGTCATAGTCTTGAGTTTCATGAAAAGACTTAAAACTGGAAACTGTTGTAATTTCATACTGTTAGGGGTTTGACTGTCTCAGCAAGTGTTCACTTGCCGCTGGAAACAGAAGTTTTGTTCATCACTATCTATAAAGCATCATTTCTCAGCAATGAGAGAAAGGCTGTTTTATTTATTTATTTTTTTTGGAATTTCTAATGAATATATGCCTACAAAATAATAACAACAGCCATAAAATTTACAGGATTGAACCTTTATTGTCAGCAAAAGAGGCATCACGTCACATGCAAAATGTTGTCATGTTAATCTCTGGATACAACAAGACATCACCTTGGCATCAAACAGGCAATTTCTTGGAAAATAGTTTGATTTTTGTAAAATTTTGTTGACAATCCAAGCTCTGAAAAAAGGCAAATGACACCAACAAAACTACACTATTACAAAGTAGACATACCTTTATCAGTTCATTTTCCACTTCTTCATCATCACCAAGCAATGGTGACTGTGGTTTAAGACTGACACCTGTCACACTCAAGTTCAAGTCATTGCTGACATCTCCCTCGTCACCTTCGCTGTCTCCACCTTCAAGTTCATCTTCCTGATCATCATCATCATTGTCGTCGTCATCATCATCACCTTCTCCCTCATCCTCACTCATGGAACCCAAAATATCAAGCCGACCATTTTCATTCAGCCAATTTTTTACCTCTTCAAGTCCTTCATCCCCAATGCTGTTCCCTGTATTACAAGGAATAAATTTTAATGTTTCTGTCCTTGTAATTTGAAATTTCCAAACAGGAAAATTGGAACTATTGTGTATGAAACAGATCTCAGTCTGCCATTGCTCACAGGTAAAGAGCCAAATCAAATTAAAACAAAATAAAGTTTCTGAAAAGGTCTTACAGTACAAAAACCAATGACTAAAAGAGGGAAAACATGTGCAAAATGCTGTCTTTATTTAAAAGTGCTGGACCTCCTACTTTTAAGTCTTTAATCATCATTACAGTGTGTTCAAAAACATTCAATTAAACAAAAATCTACACTTAATAATATTTTAATGTGAAGTATGGTGTAGGTTGCATCAGAGTCCTTTCACAAGCCACACAGAAAAATTTGCTCCTGAACATTGTTAGTCTAATTTAACTCTGAAAATTGCTATCAACTATAATGTTAACCTTCCTGATTACTCATTCTATAAACCTTCTGAGCACAAAACTACTCTATGATCTTTGCATACAACCTTACCATTCAATTCCAGTTTTTCTAGAGATTCTTTATTCACCAGAGCCTCAACAATCGCTAGAGCACCTTCCTTGTTAATCTCATCATAGGAGAGATTCAGATCTTTCAAGTTGTTCACCGCTCCTTGTAAAGATTTTGCCAATGCTTTTGCTCCTTCCGTTTTCACAAGACAGTCTCCAAAGTTTATCACTTCAATGTTTTTCAGGTTTGGTAGCACCTGTGAAATAAATTATTTAAATGACAAATGTAACCAAATTTGGAGCTGATTAATTTCTAAAACAGTGTAGGGAATAGGCGTAATGACATTAGGGTGTAAAGAATTAGGGTAGTTCACAACATCTGCGGTTTAAGATATTGATTCTACATATTTACAAAGTATTACAGATACAGATAGATGTACAAGTACGAATATTTCAGTGGAGCTTACCTTGGCCATAGCCATGGCTCCTTTAGGGGTGAATGTGTTGTCATTCAGATTCAAAATCTACAATAAACAAGATTGTGAGCCATTAATATTTGTGATCCTCTTAAAAGTTGCACATTTATTCACCTCAACAGGTCTCCCTGATCACAAGAGCAGTTAGAGAGGAGAGGAGGAGATGTATTGATAAAGTTAAGCTTAAAATTTGTATTGAATTGTAACTTTAACCCTAAAAACCAGCACACTGAACACAATTTGCACATGTCAAGTTAAAACAGAAAGAACCTGCACAAAAGAGTGTAGCAGTATACAGCTTCAGACTTCCTAAAATAATAAGAACAAGAGGCAACCAACCTTTAAGTTTGGATTGGACTTGAGGGCTTCAGCAAGAGCTGCTACCCCTTCATGAAGGATTCCATTCTGTGGCATTTGTATCTCTTCCAGTGTTCCTATTGTCTGTTGAGCAAATAAGACAAAAAATTAGATTTGGAAGATCCTACTATTTCTTGCAAATGAGATTCTGTTCTCTAACTGGTCATCCACTGAAAAGAATTCCTCAGAAGGTTGGAATCAAACATGAGAGGCACTTTCCCCTACCCCTGCCACAGCACCATGAAAACTGATTCCACAAATCTCCTACCTCAAATGCTGCTGCTAACGATTTGGCTCCAGGGTTTTCCAGGCGATTTCTCCCAGATATGAAGACTTGAAGCTGTAAAGGTGTTCCTGCTTCAGAGCTTGTTCTGTGACAATTTATCAGTGCCTCTGAGAGGATCTGTCAAGAAAAATTGGCAATAGTTGGCATCTTTAAGAATGGACAATTTGGTTATTAGGTAGTATTCAAAGCAGCAACCATACTGATTGCTAAGAAGGGCAGAAAAATATTTGGCAAACCCTAATATTCCACATTACCTTGCAGAGTTACCAGTATTCACATACCTTTCCTCCACCGACACCAAGACCATTGTTATTTAATCTAAGAATGCGTAATGAGTAGCAGGCATGACTTGTCAGCAACTTTACGCAAGCTTTCACTCCATCAGGGCCAAATGCATTGTCACTGAGATCCAGCTCAACAAGTTTTGCATTTGCTGCAATAACACCATCACTCAAGTGACCCTAGAGGAATAAAACAAGTAAATAAGTCATTAAGTGATTAAAAAAAAAAAAAAAGATACTGTTCAACTTGGTCAACAGTTTCATTTTTAAACTTTTAATCCTTTGCACCCTAACATCAGTGGGCATATTCTCCATACTGTTCTCCATACACTACCAAAGAGGCAGACAGGGAGAATTTGTTTGACAATCAAGAGCTGTTTTAGTTGGTGATCATCTCCTATATTCTCATGTCGTTCATTTTTGATTCAGGGGTGATATAGTGAGGAGAAATTAGATGCTAGTCACTCTTAGGGTTTAAAGGGTTAAGGATAGTATGGATCTTTCTTTAACAATTAACTCACATGAGCTTTCAAAATAACTGATGCTACAAGACTTACCAATGCAGGTGGAATTTCAGATCTCAGTCTGCCAGTAAATATATCACTCCATAATGCTCTCTATAATAAGAGAAAAATCTTAACTTTTTCACTGACTGTGACTGTCATGAATTCCCCCAAGTTATCAGTAAACTTCCCTGAGCTGTTGGTATCAACTATCAACTCCCTTAAGCTGTCTGTCTTCTTTGTGGTTTTTTACTACACTCCTCTAAGTAGTTTGCAAACTTGCAGAGTTTGACAACAACTCAGAGGAAGTCAGGCCTAAAAAAACCCTTGACTCTTGCATTGAGTCAGCAATGCAATAACCAAGTCAGACTTAATTACAATCCTGTTCTCTGAGGAAACTCTTACCTATATCTTGCAGTGTTTGCTACAGACATTATGCATGCAGAAAAGCAGATGCAGCTGGTTTGACTAACTACATTACTTACTTTTGATTTTTTACATCTATATAATTATGTATTATCACCTCAAATTCAGGTCTTGCTGCAAGTGCTCCTCCAATAGCCTCTGCTGCTTCTACTCCTATGGTGTTTCCTTCCAAACACAAAGCTTGGACATCTTTGCTTGCCTTAATTGCATTTACAACCTCTGCAGCTAATATATCATAAAGAAAAAAAGATCATGTATTAGTGACCATTTTAGGATTTTAGATTGCTAAATGGTAACTTAGAAGTTAAATGGAGAACTAGGAAAAGCAAAGTGGTATCTTAACGGACAGAAAATACAAAGACATGGAATAACACCTTTAGAGGTCCTCAGTCTCCATCAATGTCATATTCTTTGTTACTTAGCAACTAACCACTGCTGGTTACACCAATCTACTTCTTGAAACATCATAGCACCCTTAATGTGCACTTGAACCCTGAACTCAATTTAAGCTATAAGCAGGTTGGTTCAACATATCAAATTTGTGTCGAAAATGTTTTTCACATGATCACATTCAGAACATATCCTTTTTACATGAAAATGTCCTCAAACTAAAAGATTAAAACGACCCGTCTTGTTCGTATTAATTTTAGGAGCTCAACAGTACGTTAACCAAGTTATTTATCTGCCGAACAATATAAAACAGGCTTACCATCGTCGGCTGTGTTCAACTTGAAACTTTTTCCTTTGAAACTTACAACGTTGACTTGTTCGACTTTAGTTTTTGCCAGTAAATCTGCGACATCTTTAATTTCATCCTTTTTTTCTGTACTTTCGCCCATCTTTTCAAATATCTAAAAAAAAAATTGCGAATTTATGTCTAAGAACTGATAAGTATCACTGTGTTTTTAAAAAAATGAGATCAAAATGGAGAATAGTTATCTGCGTACATGTGCAACTCTCGATCGTAACGTTTTTCCGCCGGTGAGAACTCAATATTGAGCCCAGGGTTGTTTTTTGGCTCCTTGTCAGCGGTGTCGACCATTCCGCTGACAAGGAGCCACAAAGTGCTACTTATTTAAAGATAGAGGTCTGGTAATGAGCGCTTATGTGGCTGGCTCGCCTGGTGTAGTTCGCAACACCTCCGTAATGTGGCATTGCAGGCTCGTATATTGGTTAGAAAGCACCGTGCTAAAACAGATCTAATACAAAAGTACGTCATTGTACAGTTCAGTCTGGCCTCGGTTTCTATACTCCATGAACTTTCGCTTCTTTTGTTGCTATTACTACTCTAGCTGCCATGGTTCCTTTCCCTACCCTTGCTTCTGTGACTGCCTTTCCTCATGTCTCGTACCCAAACCTTTCACGGCCAAGTAGTTAGGTATAAGATTACCTTTTCTCCTCTCGCTGTCCCTTCCCTTTGCTGCTTTTCACAATCTTCCTTAACTTGAGGGTAAAAAAAAGTGCCCCTTACCACTTTATATTTCTTTATCAAGGCTGCTATAAAACAGTCTAATTTGGCTTGTCGTTTTTTTCCTTTCACTTCATAACAAAACAGCAAAAGAAAAGAAACAAACAAACAAACAAAAAGCAGCCCCTAACTAATGAAAAGGCATCTTAAGAGAATAACGGACGACAATTTGCAAGAGCCATTGCCCCCAAATACTAAACTTTTCAGCTCAAGTGGTCGAAAGGAGAAAATACAGGCAGTGAATACCTTCTCTGGCGACACTGCGACGTGAAGGTCTGCGTTCAGTGGGTCCAACATGTACTAAAATTCAATTTTAGCAAATGAGCGCCCATCCGCAAGGCTACAATATCAAACAAGCGCCCCCCCCCTCCCTCTCCTTCCTCTTCTTATGTAGTGAGGACACAAGGAAAACCTGTTTCTATTGCCACTTAATAAATAAATTTTGAGGCCTCAACTACATTGGAATTAGTACAGGCAGGGGCCCACCATCAGGGTGATGGAATCCTGGTACAGGTTGACAGTTTCTCAATAAGCGCTCTCTCCCCCCCCCCCCTTTTTTTCGGAATTCCCTTGAGGCCTTAAATGGGTAAACAAAACATTCAAGCTAAAGAAGTCTATTCACTCGATCAATCTTGACAAATGTAACGAAATGGCTCGTGTTCATATAGACTTCCGTGGAAAAGTCACGTTTTAGAAAACGTGACCCAGAGGTTTTCCCAGCAGATCATGCGCGCGGAAGAACATCGTTGAAGTTCGTTTGTTGCGTCATTAGATCAGTTCCTGGATCACTTAGTTTAGCTTTGTGACGTTGGCAGCCTTTCCTTAAACTTTTGACGTCGACAAAAATTGATAATATCCTGTCCTGAATGCAAGGTCATTTTTAAGACAATAGTAATCACACTACTGACGTCATCGGGCCTATCTCTCAGGGCACTCTTTTGGGTCACATGATCATATCAAGTTGTCAACAAACTAACCGAGCAGTGTCTGATCCAGCGGAAAAGGAAAGTTAACTGTGCCATTTCGGATAGGTATCTACTACTGAGGTTTAAGGAAAGGCCAGCTTTAAAAGTCGAGAAGCCTGAAAGTGAAGGTAAGCTTAGCGAGTGAATATTTTTTCGGTTGGAAACGAACCGCCCGTGCGAATATGTGTTATGTCATGCGACTTTTCATATAAATGTTTTGCTGTATTCCTCATAGATTCCTGCCATTTTCATTATTTTTTTCTTTTTCAAAGGTTTTCTTGTATAGAAGCTATCAAATTGATCGAAACTAGTCGATATTTTCGGGTTTTTGACCGTCGCCGAAGCTATGTTGTGGGTTTTTCGCGAAAAACGATAATGGCGGACTGTTGCGATGTTTTGACTCTTGCCCAAGTAAATATTGAATCATACGCAGATATTAGAATCATCGCGGTTGCATAACTGGATATAAATAAGGCCTTTTGAAGTGAAATTTACAGCTCTCTTTCACAAAAACTGATTAGCTGCGTCTGAAAAGCATACTAATTAATGAGAAGGAACTGTTTTTCAGCAAGAACGGAAGATGTAAATTCTTAAGATGTTTTGTTTATCGATCTAAGTTTGAGTTATAATATAAAGGAATATGTAAGGTGTTGTGACCCCTACATTGAAATTACGCTCGTGAATTTCCACTTCAACGTGAACAGTGTGGTGAACAAAACATGAATATTTTGTTCGAAATAAGTAAGAATTTTGTGAATATTTCACCTAGTATCACCTGCGTGGGCATTTGAATATTGCGGGTTGGGTCGGGGGTTGGGACGTGGGAGGGGGTTACTTCAACAAGATGACATCAAAAGAAGGCTCCCTAAGGAGTAGTTAAAGAATGCACTTTATTGCCTGTTATTCCTGTTCAGCTTGTTTAATATTACCTCAGGGAATTAAACAAGCTTGTATGATATTATATACCTAGGGAATTAAACAATACTGCCAGGGAATAGTGAAATTAATTGCCTGTTCCTGTTCAGTTTGTATGATATTACCCCAGGGAATTCTTTTATAATGAAGCAATAATATCCACATAGCTCTAAAAAAATTATTTAGATGATAAAGGAACATTGTATACCATGAAGAACACGTAATGATGCCAAGGAGAACAATTCACAAACAAAGTTGAGGGGATTTATTACTGTTTTCACTTTTATTATTCTGTTCCTTTTGTTTCTTTTATATAAATCTATTCCAAAAAAAAAGAAAACTTTTTATTAATAGATGACCTCTGACTTAAACACATAAATTCTTGATATTTTCTTGGTTGATTTAGGCCTCAAAACTAGGCATGTTTTCTGAGATGCTTTCTCTTTCAAAATCCTTCTTATTCAACAACTGAATGCATTAGGAAAATGACAAAATTACCATTTTTAATGGTTGTTGCAGAGACAAAGCACCTAACATTCTTTTACTTTTCAGGATGACAGAGGTAGAAGGCAGTCCAGTTATGCCAGAATGGGCCAAACCAAGAGATAAGAATGCTCCACCTTCGGTACAAACTTTTATGTAATAAATAATCATTGCACAATAAAACAGAGCTAGAAATCCTTCAATATTGTGTTATGTTTGTGTAGGATGTTTGTGTAGGATTCTTAATAACCTTGCTGCATATTTTTTCTAGGACGGCAAGTCTGTGATAGCTGCCTTAAAGAAAACAGCCTTTGTGGTCGGTACGGCTTTAATTTGCTTTGCAGCAGCTAGAAACACCATCACATGGTAAGAAATGTTACATGCTACAATGAAGTACTGTTCTTTGTGCTCCTTTCTTTGATCATCCATAGATGTTCCTTTGGAAGCTGATCTCTTGTGAGTCCCCTACTCAGGGGTTGTTGCAAAATGGTTCTCAATCTTTCTCTGTTCATGATCAGGGCCTTCCCCTTAGTAGTATTGAAAGCAGTCTTGTGACCATACTCTAATGTCATCAGTCTCCCCTTTCTAATCCCCTCCACTCTTTGATATCAAATATCAAAACATAGAGCTGTTGATAATCCTAACAAATGAACTACAAAGAGTGACTAGCTTCTAATTTCTTCTTTCAATGTTACATCTGAGTCATACAATGTCATATAGATCACAAGGATAAGGAAATTATTGCCGATTAAAGATGCTTGTGATTGTTAAAAAAGTTCTCATTGTCATCACCTTAGGAAATGTGCAGAGAACAGTATGGAGAATATGCATACTGATGTTAGGTTTGACATATAGATTTCCCTGCCTAGTATGAACTTTTCCTGCTCTCCTATCCAGTGGGTGAAGCCCTGGACAAAACTCACTTCAATCCAAAGCCAAAAAGGAACTGTAATTCAAAGTTTTTTTTAGCTCTTCCAAAATATCTATCTTTGCCTTGATAATCTTATCAGGAGGAATATTTTCATTTGATGCCTCTAATTCAAGTTATAAAAATTTGTTTGATCACAGGCATGTGGAACGTGTTTGGGGAGCCTCTGGGGATCTTTGGCAGGGATGGTGGGCAAAATTCCACTCATTGTTTGGTGGAGATCAATTTTTACTTACTGTTGTAGGTAAGAGACGTAATCTTTATGGTCATCACTTTTCTAATAATTTTAAATGTCTTGCTGTTGAATACATTTTGTAATCTTCCCTTTTCCTGGACTTATCATATCTGACACAGAGCAAAGTAGAAATAATACTGTTTCAATGAATTTCAAGCCAAAAAATAAATTAAATCTTGATAGGAATATATTCTAAGACTAGTAACCACTGATACTATGGAACCCTCAACCCTTTAACCCTTTCACTCCCACAAGTGACCAAGACATAATTTCTCCTCACAATATCAATGCCATACCAAACAGATAAGTCATGAGAATTGAGAAAAATTTCAATTTGGGGTTAATCAGTTGGTCCAATACTAAATTCTCTGAACTAACATTATATGAATTGCATGGTTAACATGAAGGAGAATTTCAAATTTGATCTGGGAGTTAAAGGGTTAACCCCTAGAATTGACAGGCATCCTATTTCTCCTGACAATATCATTGGTAAGTCAAATACGAAGGTGGTGAAAATAAAGGAAATGATTGCCAGCAAAAGAAGTTCTCCATACTGAAACAAAATCTTCTTGTCAGTACGATTTGTGTATTTTTTACTTCCTCCATTTCAACAAGTACAACCTTTTAAATAATTGCAAGAAAAAGGAAATGGAGAAGGGAATGTTATAGTGAGTTAATTAATTGCCCTTTTAGGTTAATTACATTTTTCATACAGTTAAACAAAAGCTATACAAATGTAAGTGTGGGAAATCTATCAGGAAATCTATCAAAATCAGTATGAAGAATATGCATACTCATGTCATTACTGACTTAACTAATACAAGTTCAAATCTTTACTCATTTGTTTAGGAACAAATGTGGTGACATTTGTTGTGTTTTGGTTATTCAATGCATTTTATTTGTTTGTGGATCTTACTGGGTGGCCGAAGTGGGTTCTGCAGTATAAAATACAGGATGGAACAAATCAGCCGGTAAATCATTTGCTGTAATGATGTAAAAAGTAAAAGCTGTTATTAGCACTGAAATTTAACCTTTTCCCTTCCTTAACACTCTGTGCAATGTCGGTATGTTTGCAAACAGAAAGGTGATGAGACAAGAAAGAAAAAATCAATGATGTTGAATTGTTTGATTTAGCATTAATTTCTCAGAGTGAAACCACAAGAAATGTTTTGCAGATTGTGCTAAGAATTAATATTTTAGGAATGGAAAAGTACAAGATAAAGGTTGTATGTAAACCCAACAAGATGCTGCTGTTTTTTATTTTGGGGGGAGGGCTCACTGTGAATTCAAAGTAGAGGTACAGGAAAATCAACATGCAATCAAAAAATCTGAAAGCAGATAATTATTTTAATGACAACAGATCAAATCTGTAGATGTTTATTGAGAAATTCTTAGTTGGTGGAAGCCAGAAAAGACAGGGTTTTTTTTTTTTTTTAAGAAGAGTTGGAAGACATGTTATTTTATGTCATTGCACATTCTCTTTAAACTTGGTCAGAGAGTGGTAACAACAGTGTTGTATTAACAGTGTGCTTTTCGTTGTTTTCAGCTTGACCACAAAAAGCTCATGCGTGCAGTGAAGTTGGTTTTATTCAACCAGATTGTAGTTGGTGGCCTTTTCTCTATTGTTCTATACCCTTTGTACACCTGGCGAGGCTGCCCCTTGGGTCCAGAATTACCCACCTTCCAATGGGTGCTGTTTGAAATTGCAATTTTCTCCTTGGTGGAAGAAGTTGGTTTCTACTACAGCCACAGGTACATGCAATTAAAAGTAGATTTTGAACTTTAGAGCTTAACTTGTTGAAAGACATTCCCATGATTTAGTTAGCTTTTCGAGCTTCATTTTTTTTGTTTTGTTTTTGTTTCCACTAGACTTTTCCATCATCCTCGTATTTACCGTTTTGTTCACAAGATCCACCATGAATGGACAGCTCCAATTGGTGTTGCGGCACTATATGCCCACCCTTTGGAGCATCTTTGTTCGAACCTGTGTCCAATCATTCTTGGACCATTGCTAATGGGCTCCCACATTGCTACGGCCTGGATGTGGTTTGCTTTGGCAATTATGACCACAGTCAACACGCACAGTGGTTATCACCTGCCATTTATGCCATCACCAGAAGCTCATGACTTCCATCACCTCAAGTAAGAGGAATTGATTTGTATTTAGTGCTGGCCTGTGTAATCAGAGGACTTGCACAGCGTAGCCCTTTGCTGGTGATAATATTAAGCTTCTTTAAATGAGAAAACCAACCAGAATATTTTTAATGCAAATTGTTTAATACATGTTGTTTACATGTAGATTGGAGTTCCAAGTGCATTTAAGTGTATTTTTACAAGCGTAATGTATAATAACGTGTGCATGTCTTAAAACCATTGTATAGTGGTATTTCCTGCTCCCTGGATGTGTACTCTCAACAAAGGTGCCTTAGTTAACTGACTGTTACTCGTGATGGTAAAAGTGAAAGTAATTTTTTACATGTGGAATAACCAGGATGACAGAGCAACTGACCATGCTGTAACTTATAGTTGTTATATATTTTTTTGTTTTAGATTTACTCAAAATTATGGAGTTCTTGGTGTTCTGGACCGCCTTCATGGCACCGATGTCATGTTCAGAAACTCAAGAGTGTATGATAGGCACATCATGTTGCTAGGGTTAACTCCCTTAAAACAAACTTATCCTGATAATCCTAAAAAGGGCTCACCAAACAAAAGCAAATAATATATTTTTCACTTAAAATCTGTATTGGCTGTATGTATAATAATGTACATGGTGTGCAAGTAATATTATATAAAGAGAGGATATTTGGGCCATGGTTACTGTACAGCTTGTTTTGGAGTGTTATTTATTTCATTATGACGTGTATGCTTTTGATGGCATACTATTGTAAAATATTAATTTGAATGGTTAAAATTTGAATTTATGCAGGATGGATTTTTTCAACCAATAGAGAGTTGTATTATTTTTTTTGGTAAATATGTTCTCATTTTTATGAGAAATTGCAAAGTTTTTGCCTACCCTAACAGTGCTCTCCCACATTTACGCACTACAGGTAAAGTAAATTTTCAATCCAGTAGAGCAATCCTTTTACCCATTGAATTTTTAAGCAATTTTAGATGTTAATGAAAGGGAACTACTGGCAATAAATTTTACTGGTTACTACCTGAAAAGGGAAACACTGGCCTAAGACAAGGTGCTTTTTAAACAATGTTAGAGTGCAGTTTGGATTTCATTTTGTGTGAGGCAGGATGTGAGGTATGAGGTGACAGTAAAACTGTTGAGCCATTGTGTAACTGTGTTTTGGGTGAATAAAAGTGGTGTTCTTCATGATGGTGTTTTTCCCTTTTTTTTTTTTTTTTTTTTAAGTCAGCTTACCCCCCCCCCCCCCCCAAGACTTTTGAAGGAATATCTGGGTGACTTAGGAGATCTGATCTTGAAATGACCCTCCTCTCCTTTTCTGGGCAAGGACTACATTTCCCTGGATGGCAAAGAGTGTTTCAGCTCACAAGCTTGCCCTGTTCTTAAAAAAAATTCACTTGCTGAGCTTTCAGGGCGTGTATCATACAGACCAAATGAAAAGATGTGGGTGGTGAGTACAGGAACATCAATCTAGTTTGATACTTTGTTTGTCAAAAGGTGTTTTGTCGCTCAAATTTTCTCTTTGTTTTGATGAACAAATCAGACTTTAGCTTTGCAGTTGCCTGATTTGTTGTTTGTATGATTAAAGACCAAATTGGACTTTAACCTGTCCTATTTCCAGATCAAAGTTGACTGTTGCAGCTCTACACTGTCAACTCAAAAGGGAACAAGAGTGAATTTTCACATAATATTATGCCAAATTTGAGTATGCACTTGAGATACTCCTCACACCATGATATTTATTTCAATAACTGATAGTTCAACTTTGACAATTTGCAGAAACTTTATCATTAATGTTAACTAATGTACATCTTAAAAGTATATCTTGCAAACTCTGCATTTGCCCTGAGCTTGTAGCATTTTATTACATTCATAAACATCTTGCAGTATGCATCATGGCCAAAATTTGCACCACTCATTATTCAAATTGTTTAAATAATGTAATTGACAACAGTCGTGAAATTTTCCACTTCAAATTAGAATTTGATAATAATGTTACAAAAATAAATTCTTTTAATTCATAATAAACAAAAGCACTCTACTAGAATAAAATAGAATTAACTTACTATAAGCAAATTATCTAGCTATAGAATATATATATTGGCAAATTATCTAGCTCTAATGTATAAGGGATAGTAAAATCCTTTCTAATTAAGTTACACTTCAGTGTTCTCTAGAAATTTTTTTTTGGCCTTAAGAAATATACTGGTAAACAAAGAATAAAATTTATATCAGATTGTGAAAGGTATTTTACTACCTTGTAGTAGGCACTTCAGAAACAGGTGGCTGGCAAAAATACCACCTGCTAGAACTTCTGGAGAACACTGATGTTCAAACATAATCTTTGATAATTAACTTTACAAATTAAATGAGGCATTATTAGGCATTTACTAGCAATTAAGAACCAATCTCCATTAATCTATTTAATAATTCCAAATAGCTACTGAATGATTCATTCTTCCACTGTTATTACTAAACAGTGTACCTCAAATCATTTATTCCTCTAACATCATAATTCCATGATCAATAATCTGCTCTACAAGTTCTTCCTGGATTTCAAAAGACAAGTGATGCGTAGATGAATTTAGGACATAAAAACTTCATACAAGGAGAAAAAAAAATTTCTTCAAAATGCTGGCATTTCAAAAAACAATTAAACTAAAGCCAAATGTTATGAAAAAAAGACACTGTCAATAAAAATAGTTCCCTTAGCTGTCAGATGCAAAATTTTCTCAAACAAAGAAATAGAGATAGAGATATCTCAGCTCACAAAAAACTGACAAAAACTATTTTTTTAATCAACAGGTTTATTTTCATCTATCTCCATGTCATTGTAAGACAAGATGAAACAACGAGAGCCAATGCAATAATTGTTACTTCTTTCAATGTTTTCTACCCTGCCTACTTGCACATTCTTCTCTTAGTTAAAGAGAAAACGTCTGTTAGCAAGTTATTGGAATGGGCTGAACCCAATTAATATCAATTCAGCTTGAAACACTGAGTTTTGATTTCCTATTCATCTATGCTCTCAATGTCAGGAAAACTAGCTGAGAGGCGATTACTATTATGTTTCGCCATTGCAAGAGGACCACCTTCATCAGTGGGAGTACACGGAGGACTTGTGCTGTTGACCAGACGCCACTGAAGTTCTTCATTTTCTAGAGAAAGTCTCTTGCTTTTGGCTGACTCCCTTTCCAAACTATTTCTTAATGTGTCTCGCTCAACAGAAAGTTGCCTGAAAAATTAACAAACACTTTTAACTAAGCATTCCTCCACAACATCAGCTGCACCAGATCTTAAATCAACTCCATGAAAGAAAACTGATTTTAAATAAAATTGCATTAATAGACAGGGTCCAGTTTATGCCAGTTTTTTTGGTTTGATATGTTCAATATATGCTTGAATCCCATCAAAGCCTGAAAAAATTCAGGCTTGTTCTGCAATTACTACAGTTGCAGTCCACTCGCCAGAATCATTTCTTTGCTTGATTGCAACTTTTTTTCTCTCTCACAATTATTGTCTCATAGAGTTCACCTATAACCCCTAACTATGTGGGCTTCACCCAATTATCCAGGCTCACATCCATGCATAGTTGACCATGGGCCTCTTGGGAGGCAATGGTGGTGTCCCCAAAATATTTCAAGTATTCATGATAACATGTGTGAACTACATTGATGCACAATCAGTAGTAGTATAGGCCCAGCCCATAAGATGGAAAAAATATTGCGCACCTCTCAAATCTAGACTTCGTCTCCACCACAAAAGATAATGACTCATTTTCTTGCTGAAGTTTCTTTGTTTTTGCTCTGACATCTTCAAGTTTCTCCAACTGAAAGGCAATTAAAAGCAGCATAACATGTTGACAAATTTATCAATAAAGTTATAATATACATGTAGCATAATTCTAGACTCAGACATAATGAACTCTGTTTTGTACACAAAAAATTTCTGAAAGTACAACAAATCATCTACACCCTAACATCAGTATCCATCTTTTCCATACTCTTCTCTATATATTTCCTTTGGTACTGAAAAGGAGAATTCATTTAACAATCAAAGCTTCCTAAGTTGGCGATCATTTCCTTTACTCTCATGTTCTAAACCCATGTCACTCCCATGAGTGACCAAGACAGAATTTCTCCTTACAATATCAACACAATATCAACCAGATAAGTGATGAGAATAAAGAAAAATATCAATTAAGGGATAATTGGTTGATCCAGTAATAAATTCTCTGAACTAACATTGTAAGAATTATACGGTTGACAGCAAGGAGAATTACAAATTTGATCTGTGAGTTAAAGAGTTAATGAATGACACTGGAATATTACTGTAAGGATAAATTAAATGTTAGTCACTCTTGAGGTTTAAAGGGTTAAGTGCATACCTCCAGATGCTTCTCCATTTTTTCCTTCCTCAGCTGTCTTATCTCCTCATTCTTCATTTCCAGCACAGCTTTTAAGCTTTCAAGCTCAGCTGGCAGAGACTCGTACTTTTTGATTGCTTCCTGAAATTTTGAAGAAAAAGCCACATCACCAACACTAATAACATTGTAATGCTTCACAAAGAATAAAATGACAGGGTAAACAATTAAAAAATAATAATAATGATAATAACCTGTATTCGGGACTCAATGTCCCTTTGATTATCCTCTTGGAGCTGCTGAAACTTACTGTTCAATGCATTATGCTCGCTCAGTAGCTTGTCATACTTTCCCTGCAAGAAAGAGATCAGAAGAATACACTTGAGTTACCATAGAACCATCACCACCACTCCCAAAAAGAAGAGAAGTAAACTGAAGCACTGTTTTTTACATCATACAATGAGCTTTTCACCCTTTAACTCCCACAATCTGATCATTAATTCTCCCCTGTAGCTGCTACACATTTCCCGGCATGTAAATCAGTTACAGCCATTTGGTTTTAGATCAAGATAACAACTTCCACCAGATTAGTTTGTGTATTCTCATTACCTATCTGCTAGATAATGTATTGATGTCATAGGGAGAAGTTACGTGTTAATCACTTCTGGGAGTTCGGGGGTTGACACAGACAACAAAAATTGTATTTTAAATTCTTTTAACCCCACAACTAAAAAAATTATGCAAAAGCAAAAGAGAAGAAATATCTTGTTCAGATTGGAACCCATCTTGTAAAATGGAGGTCCATGTCAAGAAGGAAAAAGTTTTCTACACAAAAAAAAAAAATTCACTAAAAGAAAAGTAAGTGCCTGGAAAACACTCTCCCACCTTCATTTCTGACTGCTGTTCTTCATAATCTGCTTTAATTGTTTCTATTTCCACTTGGTGTTCCTCGACAAGCTCTAAAAGTGAAAACAATTGATGCAGTCAATAAAATAGTAATATTTAATGTTGGGTTTTTTTTTTATTTGTAGAAATCCAGACCACATCTTCAAGAATGTCCAGAATACATAACTGACAATAGCTTTATCCTAGCTTGGCTATGGTCTGATGCAAAATGAGAAACATCCTGATGTAAACAAGTATTAGGCATTAAAAATGTTTATTCAATTTCAATAGATTTTCCTGAGGATCCAACATTCAAAATTTTTCCTAGAGGCAGATACCCCTGGACACCTCTACTGGTAATCACCTTCAGCTCTGGTTTGAACTGTAGAGCAGAGGGAAAGGAAAATTGTGCATCATATCATGGGGATTGGGTTGCCATTGCAGGAGTTTTCTTTACATGGCTGTACTAATTGTCACCATGCAATTACAACTGACTTACCATCAACTGCACAGGAATGTTTGCTGTCTAAGTCAGCAATTTCATCTTGATGTTTGTCCTTTAAGGATGCTACAAGTTCATCATGTGTCTTCTTCAATTGTGTCACCTGTTCAGAGACAAAAAGGAGGTATATTTAGGACATTTAACAGATTCTAGATTAAAAAACCACAACTCAAACTTTTTGAGATCCCTGAGAAAACTAAACTAATTTTATGAAGCTTTACAGTCAAACAATTTGTTGTTTAAATTACCTGTTTCTCTTGCTCTTCCTTCATTTCATGCATTTGTGATCTGTGAGTTTCAATAGCTAAAATAAAGGCAACACAAATTAATAATAATAATTTCAATAACTAATAAATTTGACCATGTTGTTAATGATTGATACTTTACCTAACTGAATTTCTCCCTCATGTTTGCACTTGAGCTCTGAGCTTGTCTCCTCCAGTAGATTTTCATGGTCAGCCTTTAAGGTTTCTATGGCAACTGCATGTTCACTTCGCTGGTACATCATCTCTTCTTGTAGCTTGACGCTGTTTGCTTCCTCTTCAACTACAAGACAGGAATTTCTAAGTGTTAGTAGACCTGAATTAACATGCTGGTTAACCAACAGTATCAAGAAGCCCTGTTGACATACACATACCAAGTTTCTCCTGAATGACTTTCATCTCCTGCAAAGTTGATTCAATTTTCCTTTGGAGTTGATTGCTGTACTTTTGACACCAAACCAGCTGTGGATTCAATATGAATTTTAGCCTTCAGTTGAGACAAATTAGGATACCGAGCCCTGAAGATTTTTCTGTAGCACCAGCCTTTGTTAATGTATCCATTTAATTTGACCTGTATGGTTTGTTGCATTTACATACAGTTGATGGCACTGAGTTCCCTTCATTCTAATAAGAATTCATTATGCCCACATCAGTGGTAAAAGATGTCTTACCTTACGTACAGTGGTCAGAATCAACAGTGATGCTGCAACAAAGTCGTTACTGTTGCAGTCAATTTGATCCTGTAGCTGGCCACAGAGTTCAGTCCTTTGTTTCAAAAGCTCACCCAGATGCTGTGCTTTCTCTTTGACATCCTCAATAGCTTTTAAATGACTAACATCCTCCACCTGAATTCCAACAGAATGCTTAATCAGGTACGGCGTCTCACTTAAAATATCTGGTGGCATTGTTCTGCAAGGCACTTCTAGTGGAGAACTGGCAAGCACCATTGTTGTAGAGCCATCATTTTCATCTGAGTTGTGCAAAGCAATGTCTCCTCCAAGAGAAAAGTTATCTTGCTGTGAATGTCTGCTTGAGAAATCTCTTGCAACATGGATGAAAGTGTCAGAGTGAACAGATACAGAATCACCCTCAGAATCAATGAAGTCATCAAGGTGATCTTGGTCTCTGATACTGCTTGTTACTGATACACTATCACTGGCATTGCTCAGCTGTCCTGAAATCTTTCTCGGCAGTTTTGAGGATCCCTGCTTTTGACTTGCTGGAGTTTGTTTTGTACTTTGTTTCCCAGCATGTGGAGGCTTTTTGTTGGATGAAGCTGATGATGGCTGCCTATTGACCGGTTTTGAAGGTGCCTGTGTTTTCTCTGCCAAACAAACAAATGCAACAGCACAAATTAATGTGAAAAAAAAAATTCAGGAGGCCTCTAAAAATCAAGAACTACACAAAGTATTCCCTCTCCTAAGAAACACATTTGAATTGAAATTAAAACAAAAATAAGAGCAAGCATGCAAAGGCACTTCACACCATCTTTAATTCAAAATGATCAAGCTATATAAAAATGAATTTGAAAAATATTAGTGTCTTAACTATATAAAGATTTACATTTAGCCTCAAGTTAGTAATTTTATTACATACATACATATTAAGCTACTTATTTTTTTCTGTTAACTCATAGGCTTGAAAGCTATGAAAGATATACAAAAAAATCATTATTAATGCTAAATTAAACATTTTCCTATCAATGACATCTTTCACCATAAAGCTTGAGAACTATTGATAAATAGTATTGAATTTATTTTATTTACAGTGATTTAAGAATTACAAAAAATCCTGATGCTGAATGACACATTTTCCTATTAGTGATAAAATATATACTTTCTAACTTTCACAATAAAGATTGAGAGTCCTTCATGACCATGATTGAGAACATTATACAACTAAATTTATTTAAATGAAATAAAAATGAGAAATTTAGTCAAATATGAAAATATTCATCAAATCATTTCACTAAACCAAGTCCCTTTCATAAAATTACACAACCTTTACTTTTTGTAGGAACACAACAAAACTATAACTTGCATAACAACATACCCCAGGTTTAACAAAAAAAATCCAACAGAGAACAAGCTGTTTCTCATGAGATATCACATATTTACCCTTTATACTTACCTGTACAAGCAACATTTGGCTCACTTTTGGCTTTGCTTAAATCAGATTTCTCTTCTCTTCTTTTTCGAAAATACTTTACAAGAAAACACTCTAAGTCTCTCATATCCTTTCTAAGACATTGTAATTCAAATAAAATATGTGTCAAAGAAATAGAAATGATTTTTTGTTCAACAATATCTGAGTCCATTAGTGAATGAAATGTCATCCGTTCATTCTCTGTGGAACATTATTTATGCATGAGAAGTTAACCAAACATTAATTAAATATGGAGTTCAGACAAATGCCAATGAATGAAAATGTCTAATAAATTTCCATAATTTTTACAAAAATTTTGTTCCACTATCACTGCCCTGTCTTCACAATAACAGCTTATAGGTACATCCAAGATTCAAATCAGATTCACCAATATTTAGGTTGGACAGGGAGAAAAAAATTTTTCTACATGAAGTGAACTGTTGTAAATGACACAAGACACCAGTTTGGTTAAAACTCAAAAGCTACAGTCTGTGTTTCAGGTTGAGCTAAAAATTTCAGGCAAGTTTTGGACATTTAAAAAATAATTGAAATTTCACATAAGGTTAATACTGATGACAAAATTGACCTCAAACCAAACATTTTTAATTAGGTTAAACTTATGCGCAAACAGTTTAACAAAGTCCTTACAGCAAGCAAAGTGACTCTAAATTTTATGTTTTAGGAGCATAATTGAAAATAAATTTCATATACATATTTGTTATAACTTAGTGTGTATTTTAAGTGTCCAGTAACATAATAATATCTATTTTTTAACAAAAACCTCAAAAATCTAAGAGATATGGCCAAGTGAGAGGAAAAAGAACAGATATGTTAATTACTAGAAATTTGAATTTTTAAGTTGATATGGATATTTATTATATTATCAATATCATCATTATCATTGTGATAATAATTGATATTATATATTACCTTTAACAGAACTACTTGATCTCTTCACATTTGCTGTTTGTGGTTTTGACCCAACTGCTGTGGATGACACTTTTGATCCTTTAGCTGATGCTGGAGTTTGTCCACCTATGGCCTTACATCCACTTCCAGCAAATTCTTTCTCTTTACCTGTGGCCTTCTGTGGAAGAGATGTCCTGTTAGGTTTCCTTGCATTCGAATCTGACCTTGCCAAGCCAGATTCTTTTTTAACAGCAGGAGCTACTGGTGGTCGACTTCCTGCAGTGTTAAGCTGTTTCTGAACAGCAGCACTGTCTTTCTTCCTTTCCAGTTTAGTAGCTGCTGCTGGTTTTGAAATCTGTGATGGTGCACTTAGCTTCTTGACAGGAAGTTTTGAGGTTTTAGATTCCTCTCTAGGAGATTGCTCTATGATGCTACCACTTGTTGGCCTTTTATTCACAGCTGGACGTGGTACAAATGATTTCTGATCAGGTATTGTTGCTAGAGTGTGTCGTTTCTGTATTTTACCTTCCTGTTTATGTCCTGAACTGGGCCCAGTTCTGTTTGGAAATTTACCCTCAGATGATAAGTTGACTTTTTGATTTTGTTGCTGACGCATTTGTTCTAGCCTAGACTGCTTTTGTTGTGTTGTTTTTGATGTGTTGCTGCTTTTTGTTGGTATTGATGTTGATTTAGACTTAGGGGCTTTGACCGAGCTGGGGATCCGTCTTGTTGCAGACATCTTTTTTCCCTTGCTGTCACTTGTTCCAGTGGAAGATAATGACGCTTGTGATCCAGAGAGACTGTCAGTGTAGTTAGAACCAGTATCCACAACTTGATCATGGGATTTAACTGTTTTGTTTGCAGCCTTGATACCACTGGCTTGTGACAAACTTGTGTCAATACAATTTAGATCAAGAGGCCTTTTAACTGTATTATTAGATATTGGTTTGACTGTTGCCAATATCGAAGGAATATTGTCATCAAACACCTCATCATAGTCTCCACTCCTATTGAGGGCACTTTCAGCATGAATATCACTGCTACTGCTGCATCTCCTAAGAGGTTTCTTAGGAGTTGACGTCAAACAAGGCCAGCTCCTCACCTGAGTTGATTTATTATCACTAGAAATCAGAGAATCACCATTCACCAGTTTATTGTTATCAGAAATTTTATGCAATGTGTCAGACTGCACATGAGGACACCCAGGATGTTTCTGTTGAGTGTTATCTTTGCCCAAGAGCTTAGCAGATCTGCCAGTGTTGCTTCTGTTCTCATTCTCAGCTTCGGGAATGGCAAGCCTTTCTCTGCGCCCCAAATCCAGGCAGGCTGTAATAGCTTCTGAAAAATGATCAGCACAGTGCAGGCTTGGGCAGCTGCAATGTAGTCCTTGAATAAAGGGGTCCTCTTTGGTAGAGAGATGCGCTGCACAAGTGTATTCGTTGTTCTCAGAATTTGACATTAAAGTTAAGTGTCCTTTCTCGACCATCAGATGAGTATCCAAGGAAACAGCATGTCCCACCTTCTTCTGAAGAGCAGCTTTTCCTCCATTGAGATAAATTTGATCTTTACTTGGTTGAAAACCATTCTGTTTATTTGAGGAATTCTCCAATGAAGACTGCACAGAAAGAGGTGCCTGAAGATCTCCTGCTAAATTATTAATGCCATCTCTTGGCAAGTCAAGAACACCTGTCATCTTTGAAGGCTTATTGTGATCAGCTCCAACAGAGATGTAGTCTTTATTCACAGCATCAAATGCCGTTTTCTCGTTCCAAACATTTTTCTCCAAATCACCCATGTCACCTCCCAAACAATACTCGCTTGAATCCGGGAAAATATCCTTGGAAATTTTAGGCATCGAACGCGAGCGATTAACACAGTTCTGCTCCCAGGTGTTCATTTCCTCACTCTTTTCCGTATTATGTAAAAACATATTTAGACCTTTCGCCAATTGCTTGGCTTTTAAGAACAGATATCTATCCAACGAGACAGAACGATTCCTTCTCGTATGCTTTATCGGCTTGTTAATGTCTCTATATTTAGAAACCTCGCGATCATTGGAGCGCATTACTTCCACATCACCAGAAGACATGCTTTGCTCGTTGTGATTACCTTCTTTAATATTCTTTTCCGGTGATTGTGGACTGAACGGGCTTTCTAGCAGGTTTAATCGCGATAGTGTAATGTCATCGGCAGTTCTAACTTTATGCGAATGTACAAATATCCCGTGTTTATTTTTACAACGAAAATAACGCACTCCACGAACACAACCGTCGTTTTTGCCGCAGGCTTCGTCCAACACAATACCACACCATTCGCCCTCGGCAAAATGTGTTCTTCCGATGTATTTAAGGACACCAAGTTGAGGTTTCTTGTTTAGTATGCATACGACCCTGTCTCCTTGATTTGGGCGCTTCTTCGTCAATCCGCCATATAAACTCCCGTCGGGCGAGGATAAAGACGATGCAGCGAGACTATTGTTGACCTAAATGAGAGGAACAAAAAGAAAATTTTACAACCCTTGTTAATCAACATAAAATGAAAATTGAAATACGATGTGACACCAAAACAAATGCTGAACAAACGTGACTTTATTCGTAAGTCAATAATATCGACATTTTCGCTATAGCAACGTCCAATTTTCGTGTGTGTACAAGTGTCGAAGCGTGCCTATCACAATAAATTTTCATTCCAAAATTTAAACATACTTGTAGGTAAATATCAAACTGCATTTTTATCACAACATCGATTGGCAATTGAAAGAAATAACTTTTTACAAGTTGAAGTTTGAGTAACCTCCTCCTCTTGACCTGTGTCAAATTGCGGGAATAGAGAGGAAAGAAACGTAAATATAATTGAACTACAGCATCCTTGAAGAAATTACTGAAGTAATCATTGGCCTTAGACACCAGACACTAAACAAGGCTGATGTAACCTCGTTGGCGTGAATTTGGAATGAAGGCGAGAAAGTACCTTTAAAAATGACTTGAGTGACGGACTTGAAAATTAACTCGCACATCCTTAATTCTGTAGTTTACTTCGAGAATTTGAATCTGAGCTAAAATAATCTATTTGAAAACACTTTCTAATCACGTTAGAAATGAATAATATTAAAGTGAACAAAATGGTTTGACACAGAAATCTGCTCGTGTGTTTAAACGGCAACAAATTTTCAACTGCACGCTTCGCCGATCGATGTGTTTATTAGAAGGGAATGCAAGCGACTGGTTTTGAACGCGAATCCCGCAGAGAAATCTTGTGATATGAATGACTAAGACATAAACTTCAACGATAATATTATAATAAGATTAACAATCTTTATGTACTCACAGACAGAATTTTTTTTGCCCGCTGCTAGCGTGAATATTATGATATCGTTGAACGGTGAAATCGACACCGGCAAAGGTTAGAATACCGATAACTTGAAATCCTACCTTTCGTTAATAATTACTCTTCTTTAGCCGTTTGTTTCGTTTTGGTTCGTTTCAGAGAACAGTCTTCGGCTGACAACTAAAATATCCGAGGACCCATCGATTAATGATTTCCACGCTGATCAAATGCCTCAAGTCTCGCGGTGAGCGAGGGAGCGAAGCACAGATCACGGGCTTAAATTGTCGACCAATGAGATGTGAGGCAATAGCTTATTTGTGTCAAAATTAATGGAGGATCAGAGTTATTGAAAAGAATATTCGTAATTGTTGTCATTCTTTACAAATTGATAGGAGTAATTTTAAAGTCCTTTCTTCTCTTAATACTCTTACTGGCATTTTATTTCGCATCAGAAGTACAAGCATATTTTGAAAAGAGACAGCCTCTTTACGACAGTAGTACGAAGGTTCCAAAAAAAACTTCTTAAAAACTTATTGTCATGATGTTATTCTTCAGCCCAACAAAACAGAGATTACCGATATAGTCCCTTTTTTTAAATGTGGATTTGGAAAACTGAAGATAGATTTATCTCAGAGACCTGTCTCGATATATATCGCACGACTCCAGTTTTATAACTTTATATAGAGAATGTATTATCATTGAAATTTGCCGAAGCTGACATCTGCCACGGCATTGATAAACTATAGCACTTATCTGTAAAGAAAACAGTTCTTATATTTGATCAAGCCAATATCCACTTAATAGAGATAGCTCTGGAATCTTAAGTTATGTGAGAAAAACAAAAGGTTGCGGTAGCGTCCGGATGACCCCTTTATTCTTGGCGTCCAGTTCTCCTATTCTCAGTGCTAAGAATGTGGACAGTCTATTGAGCACTAAAGCCAAACCCCTAGCTACCTATCAAACAGAGTGGTTTATTTTCAGGTGATCATAAACAACAAAATGAACCATTCCGTTTTCTCACGTAACAACCATGGTTCGGCTTGCAGCCAAGATCTCGGAGGCATGGCAAATGAGTTTTCCGTTTCAAAGGCCCTTTGTCTCCATAAAAAATTCCAATTTGCTAAAAAAAATTCATTGCAAGCGAATTACGTGGCTGTGGGCTGTTCCTTAATTTATTGATAATATTTTTCACCGATGCATTTTTCTTTGGCGCAAAAAAACCATCAAGCCGTTGTGTCAAATCGTTGACTTGAAATTTGGCGAAAGAAATTAGGAGCGATGGAGGAGCAAAATGGGAACAGTATTTCTTGGAATCCGTCTTTTAGTAAAAATTGACCAAAATAAATCAGTTTGAGTTCATTATGCTACAAGAGTTGCCAAAAGACTGTAATGATTCATGCGGAACTGGCCACTGAAATTACAATATCCTATAATAAATTGAGCAGAATTTACATGATATTAAATGTATGATCAATCACGGGCGAGGTACGAATTAATCGGATGAATGTTTGCATTTTTTCAATTTAAATTGAATATTGTATTGAATATAATATTTAATATTGTTCTGACCTCAATTCGCTTCGGTTTGGATGGAGAATAAAAGCACGAGTACTTAGCTTAATCAGATAAATTATTGTTTTCTTTGGGGAAGCTTTCCCATTGTTTGCACCCATGAGAAATTAACACCTTGAAATAAAAGTCGAATAAACGTAACATTATGATTAGATTTGAGATTATAAGTCAAAATCACTAAATAACAGTACTGAGAGATTGCTATCTAAACAATAAATCTTGAACCCGTAACTCAGACCACAGCCACCGACCCCCAGTAAAGTGAAGTTCATTCTCTCTTCATCTTGCAGCGCAAACAGTAAATTGACAGCCTACCTTTCTTCTGCGCGCCGAGGACGAATTAGGTTTTTCTTGCCTCTTACCGACAGTCCATAACGTTGATGGTCTTTTTGGAGCTGTAATACTACTTTTCCTCTGCTTCTTCTTTGCAAGAATTGATGGATCACTCTTGCTTCTTCTATATTCTCGACTTTCATTGCGATAAAATTCACTTGCAAACTTTGGAAATGTATCCCGTCTTTTAAGTCTTCTGTCAGCCGCTGATCGAGCGCTTCTTGGTCGAGAGTTGACGAGTGGTTTCCTTGAACTATGAACAGTTGAGGATGGGCAATTCTTGGAATATTTATCCCCGCCTTGTTCGTCGTCTATCAAAAATTCCTCGTGGTTCCATAATCTTGGCAAACCAAGGGGTCTTTTACTTGAGTTGTAAGACGTTGAGTTACTACGGGAAAGGTTTTTATGAGGTGAAATTTTTGTGCTGTTCCACGGCGTTGCTGGGACAGAGTTCTTCCTCAATCCATGATAAGAAGAAATTGGCATCTTTGGTAATGTCAAATAAAATGAGAAATTGATCCCAATCAAGAAGTCGACAGCCACTTCAATTTAGCGGAAAAGTTACACCTTCTTTGATTCAAACAAGAGCTGTTTAGAATTCATTGTTTTTAAAGACAGCTTGATTTGTAAGTCCGGCTTTGGAATGAGTCCACGTTGAAAAAGATTCCTTCGAATTGAAGGGAATATTTACTTTAGATTTTTAAGACGCTGCACGTTGCCACGACTGCCTTCTGTACCGTCAGGCCCCCACAACAAAGGGAGTTAGAATTGATCCTTTTCAATCCATAATTCGTCTCGTTAAACTGTAGTATCCCGTAGCGGAGTTAATGAGAATCCTTTCTAGAATTTCACGGAATTAACCAACCATCTGTTTTACATAAACCTTGGCAATTACGACTACAAATTAATTTTAAGACCCAACCGGTACCAGATAAACACTTGCAATTCCAAGACTGTAAGGTACTTGTTTGCCAAACCCACAAACTCTTACAAGTCTAAAACAGCCTTGCGGTAGAATAAAACAAGAATTTCACTGTTTCTCTTTTCTTTGGCTTGTAGTTGATGAAGCGAATGATGATAATTGGACGCTTTCAAGCAGGACTTAACAGTTGTAACTTTTTCCCGGTGGCGAACTCTTGCAGAGAAATACATGTGTCACAAAACTGCGCATGCATAAGATAATACATGTCCTACCGATGTAAACAACTCAGTTCAGAAGCTATTGTTTGCAAAGAAGATTTCAAGCACAGTGGTCTCGTTTCAAAATAAACGTTGCTGATGTTTAGCACTTCTATCTCACCATCCTCGTAAAAGCCTACTTTTGTCATTTTGAAGTCAATACAGAGGACACTTCGGTGAGGGAGCCATTGACACGGGTTTAATTAGATTTTCGCTTTGCCTTGTTTTGACTTTTTGTGACAAATGACGTAAGGTAGTTTGCACTTTGCATTGAGTGTCTCCGGAATGGAAAATCAATTTGCTCAGTGCTATATGTAAATAGAAACAGAGTAATGTACTGCGTTTTTCAAATAAGTTAGTCTTTACGCTGTCAGTTTTCTAGTAACATCAACTCTTTTCTCTGTTGTCAGCCATTTCACGCACGGGCTAAAAATAGTAGAGATGTTTCCAGATTCGCGACAAAATTAAACCAGAAACGTTTGTACCAGAGTCGATTTGCCCTAGTTTCCTACGCAGGTGGACAGGTTTGGGGTAGGGACTCATAGAAAAGAAATAGCGGGGGAGTGGAGGGATAAAATGCGACATCATTGCAAGTGAACAAAACCGATTTCTAAAGTAAAGTATGTAAAGATCTTAAGATATTGTCTGGCTGGATTTTGAGTTAACACACTACCGCTTTATATCGATTAATTTTGTTATCATTGGTTTTTCTGGCAAATCCAAATTGAGGAAAATTATTTTCTCGTGGGAATATGGATTAGCAGGTCCATTATCCATTAACCCTTTAACTCCCAGATCAAATTTGTAATTCCCCTTACTGTCAACTATACAATTCTTATTATGTTAGTTTAGAGAATTTAGTAATGGATCATCTATTTATCCTCAAATTGATATTTTCCTTTATTCTCAACAATTGTCTGGTTGATATTGTATTGATATTGTAAGGAGAAATTCTCTCTTGGTCACCCATTAGAGTTAAAGGTTTAAGCACCTGTCACAATACATGTTCACGGATAAGCACAATAAGCACTACATAAATACTTACATGACGTGCTATTTATCCTTCCTCAGTTTCTCTCTGCCATATAAGCGGCGTGGTTTCTAAGCCAGAAAAAAAAAGAGTACCATTTCCTCTCTTCTACTCACTTGCGCTTGAGTTGATATCCTCTTCGTTTTGTTCTCTCCAATGGACATCCCCTCAGTTGTTCACAGTTTATCTCTAGTAACCATTGTGTATGCATTACTTCTCCTTATTCCAATTGTTATTGTGACAGTAAGTACTATTGATCTAGAATTCTTCATTTTTTTACGATTTTAATTATTTTATCGCGTGGCCGTGACTTCGATTTCTCCTCGATTGTTCCACAGATTCTCATAGGAATTCGCTTGATGACTTATGACGCTGTGCCGATAATTTCTAGGTTCGACAGTGAAAAATATTACAAGGATCCAAACAAAAACAATGCCACTTATCCCTTCCCAATCATGGAGGAGGCAGGCTCCATTGATCTTTCGGTGATCGTGCCTTCGTACAACGAAGAGGAACGACGTGAGTTTGATTAATTGGATTGTTTATTTGCTCAGCTGGTCTACCGTCTGATGCAATCTAAGAGTGGTTATCTTTAATGTTTTAGCTTTAAATAGTAAAGAAATTTAATTACGCCCAGATTTAAACTAACCGTAAGAAGGGGGTCGCGATCGAGTCATTACGTGTCCAAAATCTCTAACATCCAGTTCTCCACCCCAATCATATTTACTGGAAGCATAGTCTTTAATTTTCCTGAAATCCAGCGCGAGGGTCAAATCAATTTTGCAGGGAAGTTTGTTTTGTGAGTGCTGACCTGGGGAAGAGGGGGTTCGTGTAACCTGGAAGGCAGGGGTATAGCTATGATGATCTTGGGATGCTTGTGACACCGTTTTGCCCTGGTAAGAGTAATATTTGTTTTGCATCAGCAACATAGAAACTTAATCATGCCAGTTTGCAAAATCTTGCAAAGCCAAAGTATTTTTGTTGCATGAATCGTTTTAGTGCTAGATACTCCATGAGCTTGTCCTTCTTGTGGCATGAATATGAACATGCAAGTACACAAAATAAAGCAGCAGCATTAACCACTTCACTGAAGGAGTGCAAAAATTCTTAACTGAGACTCTTCCTATGAAAAATCCTTATGCCCCATGGAGGGGAAGCTTCAAGCAAAAGAAAAAACCTTATGGAAAGCCTGTTGACAAAAAGGAAATCATTTGATTAAAAGTTAAATTAACAAACTTTTGCTTAGACCGAACATCTGAATTTGAATGAGATTTGTATGAGGCCTTTCTTTTTGCACAAGAATATTTACCAAGGTTGTGCTCTAAAGGGAGCTCAGGAGCTACATGCAACTAATTTTTGTTGTTGAATGATGTTTAACCTTGTATTTTGAAAGCTTTCAAGAGTTCTTTACCCCAGATTTCTTATATGACAGCCCTCAAACCTTACTAACAATTTTTTTAATAGTTCAGTAGTGAATTTTTAATGGCTTTAATGACAAAGCAAGGCAATAGAGCTTTGAATTTATCATCATTCAACTTGTCTGGATTTGTTCTCAGTGCCTACTATGTTGGATGAAACATTTGAATATCTGGAAAGTGAAAAGGTAAAGAAAGAATCAGCATATAGTACATTTTCATGACTTAAATTCACACATTTAGTAATGCTTCACCTATTTTGCTTTTCTGTTTATTATTTTAATGAGCTTTCAACCAATTTTTTGTGAACTTTGTTGTCAAGACATTTGATAACAACAAAGTGACCTTAAATTGATTTTCACAGGAATTTGCCTTGTGTTCTAGCTTAGTGGATTTTTTTACTCATTTTGCAGAGGAAGAAGCCATCTTTTACATATGAAATTATAGTAGTGGATGATGGGAGCAGAGATGCAACATCTAAGGTTGGTGAAATGGAAATGGTTACATTGCTATTATTATTTGGAGTGCAATAAATGTATGTATTGTGGCTCAATTTTTCCTTGCTTTAAAATTTTAAACCAGTTTGAAAATTTTCAAGATTGAAAAGCAATCTTGTTTGATTTCTCAATTGAAAAAAAGAATTTAAGACTGACACATGTATATAGCTATGGTTTGAATAGTCCTTTCTTGACATATAAATCGTAAGAACAAAGTTTATGGAATAATTTACTTGAAAAATATAAGTAGACTGGATATGTGATGTTTTGTTGAGAACCATTTGAAAGAGCTATATGCTTGAAGGAAATGACTCCCTGGAGGAAAAATTATATTTTTTTGTAAAATATTGTCACATTTAGGGTCTTCTGTTTTTATGAGTTCAGAATGGACTCCTAATGTGAAGTTTTGGAAAATTGTTAATTAACAAAACAATATGAATTAATGAGAGGTGCTATTCCTTTGTATGAAAGTACAAATTGTTCCCTATGCTGATTGTTATGTGAAAGTGTCATTGTGGTTTGTTGTATCTGTTTGTATAATGTAGGTGGCTCTGGAATATTCAAGGAAGTATGGTGTTCACCAAATGCGTGTTTTGACACTGGAAAAGAACAGGGGCAAAGGAGGAGCAGTCAGATTGGTATGTTGTTTTAACCCTTTAACTCCCATGAGTGACCAAGACAGAATTTCTCCTTACAATATCAACACAATGTCAACCAGATAAGTGATAAGAATAAAGAAAAATATCAATTTGGGGATAATAAGTTGATTCAATACTAACTTCTCTGAACAAACATTATAAGAATTTTATGGTTGACATTTAGGAGAATTACAAATTTGATCTGGGAGTTAAAAGGTTAAAGAATGACTAAAGAGGAATTTTTCTTTACAGTATTAACACATTTTCAAGTGGAAAGGTAATGAGAAGGAAGAAAACTATCAACCAGGGGATATTGTTTGATTTAACACCAACTTCATTGAGTTAAAATAGCCAGAAATGTATAGGAAACTGTGTGGGGAAATTTGTATTTAGATCCTGGATGTGATTGTCACCTGCAGGGTTTTTACATGATGAAAGGTAGTGAATATCTGCAGCCCTTTCTTTGGCAGTTTTGTCACATGAGGACATGTTTTGGGGGATCAACAATGGTCTTCAAAATTATCAAAAGATAAAAGCCAAAAAAATTTTCATACAGCAATGTGATTATGGAGGTTTATTTTTTTTGATGAAAAGTAGTGTTCTCTAGACAAAGTTTGTTATAACATGCGTGTTTTGTCAAATTTTTAGAGATATTCTAATATTTCACTTTTTAGTGAACACTAAGCTAAAATGTCATCCATCATCTTTTTTTTGCACTAAAGGGCATGTTCAGCTCTAGAGGTAGGCGGCTTCTGATGGCTGATGCAGATGGTGCCAGTAAATTTGCTGACTTGGCAAAATTAGAGAAAGCTTTAGATGACCTGAATGGAAAGAAGGTTAGTCCAGTTTTTCAAAACTGTGCAAAGTGGACAAAGGCATTACTTGGGTGGTCATGGAATGCCTGTAGAAAACCAAGGGGGATAGTCAGGGGGGTTCCTGGGAGGCCTGGGGTCTACCTTTGAGGGTTTTTTCCTAAATCAACAATATGCAATGCTCATAATTCAGGTTGTGAGGTTTCACAAGTCAGAAGAATCTGCATAACAAAACATTTTCTGATGCCAAATGCTGTATTTTGTGGTCCTTCTTGTGGTATAGATACAAGTCTGCACATAGACAACAAGGAGATGTGGTATACACCTCATCATGTAAGACACAGAAACTCATAACTGTGACCCCTAACTTGAAAAGTGCTTTGCACCCAAATTTCTTGTGCAAAAAAATAATTACTCACATTCTGACAGGCTTCTGAATTCATGAATATATCAATATTAGACCCTCTTCTTTAAAAATTACTGGCGTCACCCCTTGGATCAGTAATGTTAATGATTTTTGCTGAAGAGAAAGGGGAAACAAAATTAAACCAGAAGATTTGTTCATCCCAGTTTAATTTGTTGAGTTACAAGAGTGGAAAAAGAGGAATATCAATATGAATATTGAGATAATGTGCATCATTTTACATTTTCTCTTTGTTCAGGGAAACACGGCTGTGATAGTCTGTGGTTCTCGTGCTCACCTACAGGATGAAGCTGTTGCACAAGTAAGAGAGACTTAACTCGTACACTCACATGAGTGATTGATAAGTTATTTCTCCTCACAGTGTTAATACATTGTCAAACAAAAATATGATGAGAAGAAAGAAGGGGATGTTACTTGATTTAATAACCAAATTCTCCGTGGTGAAAGTTTTTAGAAATGTTTGGCCGACAGTGTTGAGAATTGATTTTGAATCAAGCGTAAGGTAGTGAAGAATCAAGCAGGAAATCCTGATCGGAGCCGATCTTTTGTACTCGAGTAGCTGATGAGAAACGAGATTTGTCGGCCTCACCCTTGGAGCCGGCCATATGACTAAAGTTGTCGCTAACGCATTTTTTTCTCTCCTTTTATTCAGCGCACTTTCTTTAGGAATATTCTTATGTATGGCTTTCACTTTCTGGTGTGGTTCCTGTGCGTACGAGGAATCAGAGATACTCAGGTAATGTAACTAAACTCCTTGCCGAGCTTATTTCAATTTTCAGTAACGACAACGGCTGATCAGCTGAAAGAAAAATCAAATTAAAACAGGCGAACTGCCTGAAGCGCGGGAAAACGCGAGTGACTGGTTTTTGTTTCTTCGTCTGATTGGTTAAAAGGGTGGCACGAGTGTTCTAGACCAATCAGAGCGAAGTATAGCACAACCCATGGAAGCGCAGATGAATTGAAGGTTGTCCTATCAGTCCTCAGAGAATGCAAAGCAGAAACTCACTCGTCATTGTTTCCAATGGTGTACAGTGACCATAAAAATTCACACTTCAATTGACTTCTCTCGGTAATAGAAATAGAGAGCGACTCCCTGTGGTCTGGAGATTTTCTGATACGCTATTTTTCTTTAGCCAATGACAGATTTCAGCTCATTTTGACCGTGGGCTACGTTAATCAGGTTTTTATCAACCAAAATAATGTGTCTTTCTGGACTGGAATAAGAATTTTAAAAGTATGTTAAAGGGATTCCTCTTTCCGCATCAGTACGACATAAGTTCTTTTTGTAAAATGCACTTCAATTAATAGATTAATCAAACTAAACAAGAGAAAAATTTAGACATTTTATTGTTTAAAGTGAAAGAGTAGATTATAAACTGTTCCTTGATGGCGTCTTTATATCGCTGTTTTTCTTTTATCTTAGTGCGGATTCAAGCTTTTCACCAGACCAGCGGCATTACTGACTTTTTCTGCTCTCCACGTTGAGCGGTGGTAAGTGTTTTTACGACATACATCGAGAAACACGTTTCTTCCAAGGAATGAAGAAACGATCAGACGACTCAGCGAACGAACAATAACGAAGGTACGAACGAAGTAACACATGAATAAGGAAACGAACGAACGAAGAACGACGGTGTGAACGAACGAAGAACGGAGGTGCAAACGAACGAACGTGCAAACGAACGAACGTGCAAACCAAAAAGCAAACAAATAAACGAACGAGCGAACCAACGGAGAACGAATTTGCAAACAAAGGAAAGAATAGCCTGTAAGCACGCCCTGAAGGTCTGCCCCCATCATTAGTGCCAGAGCTCCGGTAAACCTCTCCCCGATTCGCCTCCAATCTTCCTGGCGGCTGAAGAATGGGCGACCTGCAGTGCTTATAGTTAGGCTGTTCTCTCAGGCCTAGGAACGAACGAATTAACGAATTAGCAAGCGAATGAACGAGTGGATGTACGGACAGGTGGACAAACCAGCCTACCATGGCATGGAGGGCCATTTCCAACGTGGTTATCCTTAAGATAAATTACATATGTCAAACGCGTCAAGTTCAAACAGTTAAAAGGTACATACACCGGGTGAGCGCTTGAAAAACTATATTATCTTGTTGTTTAAAGTTGTATTCTCCTTTCGTAGGGCCTTTGATGTAGAACTTCTGTACATTGCACAGAAGCTGAAGATCACTTTAGCAGAAGTAGCCGTCAACTGGACGGAAATTGAAGGTTAGTCGTCGTGTGAAATACTTAGAGAAAATAACTTCCTTTTCCGTAATTTTGTGAAATTTCGTCTCCGTCAATGTTGGAATTACTTGACTGCATAGATGGATTATGTCCTCCCCCCAAAGCTTTTCACTGCTCGTGTAATGGAAGAGAGAAGAGAAAAAAAGCGACTCCTAACTGTTGCTAAGAAAACCTCCTTGCAAATTTTGCCTTCGACGAAACATAATTGTGCACATCTAACGTTTATTAATCTTTGTCTTCAGACAATCAAGACATTCTTTGTTTTCGATTTTTACCCGTCTGCCATCTGTATGCGTCCTCAAGTCTGGCACATTGTTTTTTTTTAACAGTGTTTAGCGCAACATATGTGATGTCTAGATTTCACGTTTTCCCTCTTTTTGCAGACTGCATCTTTTTCAGACATGGGCGAAGCATACACTTTTCTCCTGCTTGCTGTACTATTTGTACCTTTCCTTGTGTTTGATGCCTTTCGCTTGTTTGGTCTGAGTTTTGCGATTGTTGCGTGAAAACCCTCCCACGTTCAAGCCTTGAAATTACCATAGAATTCTTATTCTGATTTCTCTTCAATTTTTTCCAAAGGTTCAAAGATGATCCCAGTGTGGAGCTGGCTTCAAATGGGCAAAGATCTGCTCATGATCAGTTTAAGATATGTGGTTGGTGCTTGGAGGATCGAACCAATTAAGCTGAAAAGCCAATAAAACTTTTAGCTTCTCTTCAATTTTTCATATATTAAAACCTTAACTGTAAAACGAACTCTGCTATTTAATATATTGAGATGTAGACACGATCAACAAGGAGTTGACTTTTTGTGCGAGCAGCACATCATGTTATCGTACACGGGTTCAATCTTAACACAATCCATTGGGTGTGAAAATTAACCTGGGATTCCTGTAGTTTTAAACTTTATTTCGCTCTGTGATTGGTCCAGAAAACTCGTTTCACTCTCTCAAGCAATCTGATTTAACAATAAAATCGTTCGCGACTTGGTCACCTGCGTTTCCCGCGCTTCAGGCAGTTTGCCTGTTTTTATTTTGCTTAATTGGCTCCTGGTGACATACTCCTTTGTTCTGATTGGCTGTTGTGATTACTTTGGCTTTGGTTTTACGGCACTCAATCGAAATGCGCGACAAAAGAGGATAGACGGTGTTGATCAGAAGACAGACCTTCAGCCAATACATCCTGGATATGTCAAACAAAGGAATTCGTTGCGAACTGAGCTTCGTTCACAACGATCGATGTATGAAATGACGGCCACAATTATGGTCCCAGGAAAAATTCGTTTAGTATAATAAAGATTGTCTCAGCTCTACTGATAACAAGAGTGATGCACCAAATGAAAATTTAGATGGAATCTAGTTAACATGAAGTTTGACACTTCAAATATCACGAGTCCATACAGTATGATCATCTGTAGATATGTAGTCCTGAAAATGACCTTAAAACAGCAGACGAAACATTTGCTTTTGAAAACCTATTTTTGCCAACCTGATCAATCCGCTATTTAAGTGAGAATGTGTGTTGCGAAAAAATGATAAATTCAATATCAATGTTTTAAAATTTTTGAGTAATAATGAATAAACACCTGTTTTAGAGCGTGCGATGTTCTAAGCTGTGTTGGTTAAACGTGAATATTCAACTAATTTGTTCTTTTTTTATTCATTTATTTATTTATTTGCATATTTATCTATTATTTTTGTGAAAAATCCAAAATCAGCCACCGGTGTCCAAAATCCAAAATGGGTCACTAGCGTCTACAAATCCAAAATCGGCCACTAATGTCTAAAATCAAAAATAAAAAATTGGCCACTAGTGTCCAAAGTCCCAAATGAGCCATAAGTGTCCAAAATTTAAAATCGGCCACTAGTGTCCAGAGCCCAAAATGTGCCATAAGTGACCAAAATTCAAAATGGGCCACTACTGTCCAAAGCCCAAACTCGGCTACTAGCGTCTACAATCCAAAATCGGCCACTTAGGATTTAAGTCTAAAATCGGCCACTAGTGTCCAAAATTCAAAAAGGGCCACTTATGTGCAAAATCCAAATGGGCGACAAACGTCAAAAATTCCAAAATGGGCCACTAATGTCCAAAATTTAAAATCGGCCATTAGTGTCCAAAACCCAAAATAGGCCACAAGTGTCCAAAATCCAAAATGGGCCAATAGTGTCCAAAGCCCAAAATCGGCCATTGGTGTCCAAAATCCAAATCGGCAACTAAGGATTAAAATCCAAAATCGACCAGTGAGGATTAAAATCCAAAATCGGCCATAGGTGTCCAAAATCGAAAATGGACCACTAGCATCTAAAATCCAAAATCGGCCATCGGTGCCCAAAATCGAAAATTGGCCACTAGTGTCGAAAGTCCAAACTCGGCCACCAATGTCTAAAGCCCAAAATGGGCCACAAGTGTCCAAAATCCAAAATCCGAGATGGGCCATTAGTGTCCAAAGCCCAAAATCGGCCACTAGCGTCCACAATCCAAAATTGGCCATTAGTGTCCAAAATCCAAAATCGGCCACTTATGTCCAAATTCCAAAAAGGGCCACTTATGTCCAAAATCGAACATCGGCCACGTATATACTTCAAAATCGGCCATTAGTGTCCAAAATCCAACATCGGCCACTAGTGTCCAAAATTCAACATCGGCTACTAGTGTCCAAAATTCAACATCGGCCACTAGTGTCCAAAATTCAACATCGGCTACTAGTGTCCAAAATTCAACATCGGCCACTAGTGTCCAAAATCCAACATCGGCCACTAGTGTCCAAAATTCAACATCGGCCACTAATGTCCAAAATCCAACATCGGCCACTAGCGTCTAAAATCCAACATCGGCCACTAGTGTCCAAAATCCAACATCGGCCACTAGTGTCCAAAATTCAACATCGGCCACCAGGGTCCAAAATCCGAAATCGGCAAAAAATGTCCAATATCCAGAATAGGCCACTAGTATCCAAATTTTAAAATCAGTCACCAGTGTTAAAAATTTAGAAGCGGACACTGGTTTCAAAAATCCTAAATCGACCACTAAATAAATGTTCAAATTGAAAAATAGAAAAGAACTAGAGGTTGTACAATACGGAAGACGTGCCGCATCCCATATATTTATGGGTACCATGCTCCACAAGAGGAAGAAGATTCAAGAATATGGTGACTTACTGACTTTCAACCAATAATCAAATAGCAACAAATGATCATTTCAAAACTAACAATAATTATGATCATGATAGTAATAGTAATGATAATTCATAGGGGGTTAGCTCAAGAACTTTACCGTTCCCTATACCCTAAGCTCCAATGATGGGAATTATGATTGAACTATGCTTCTTTTTGATTTGCTTGCTAATCATAAATCAATTTTTTATTTCATCGCAATTCTATTTTTGAGAGACTTTTGTTTCATACAACAACGCATTTAAAGATATTCTTTCTTGGCGTTTTAAAGGATATTCCGATATTCCACTATATTATGTGATAGGGTCGCCCTGAGAAACTCAAGGCCTTTGCTCGCTTCGCAAATTTTGCGGCTCTTTTGGGCATTAGTCGCTGATTCAACATAGTGAAATACTCTCTCTTTGAATAAAAAAAAATTCTCCAAACTTCCTCTATGTGCAAATAACAGGTCATATCACCTTTATATTCAGATATTTCTGTAAGGAAAAGTTTTTTAAATCACGCGTCATCCTGAAGTGATTGTGAGATATTTCTCGTCTTCTGTAGTGTCACGATAAGATCTGAAATGAAATGAAATGAAATATACTCGGAATTAAACAGTAAGTGACATAGGGTCAAAATCGGGTGAAGTTCGGCATTCTATCGTTGCCATCACCCACTCATATTCAAGGTTGGATTATTGTCGAATGGGCATATCTCATCAATTAAAACCTTTTTGGGAAATGAATTGAAGAAACAGAGTATTACAAATCAGCCTTTTTGAAACCGGGTTCATGTATTCAGGCATCTACCCGGGTAGTCTTTTCCACACCCCACTCGAGAACGGAAATTTCTGTTCCATCTCCCATCTTCTCGTGTGTTTGTGATGCCCTTTCATCACGAGCGGAGATACGACCCGATCGGCGACAAAAAAATGTATAATGCTGGCAAATCTGTTATCTCAGAATTATTTCTAATCCAGCTCATTATTATCCAATCATTCTTAATCCTAACTGGAATGTGATGATCTGGAAGGGAAATTGTATGAATTTTATCGCCCGCACGTCCTGTTGTGCCGTCATTTTTTTGGACAAGGTGATCAAACACATATTACAAAACCATCGGCAGCCAAAAGACAGAAGGCAACGTGCTAATATTCAGTCAACTGTGGAAAGCTTGCGAAACAAAATTATTTTGATAAGTGTACATTTAATAATTGTTCCACTTCAGAATGCCAAAACCGCAGACCGTTGGGAGAGCGAAAAGTAACCACGTGATTTGGCGTGTTAAAACAATCCGATCTGTAAAGTAAACAATTCATTTTATCTGTCCAAGCAGATTACAAATTACTCTTTTCAAAGATAACATAAATGAGGCCTTTTGTGTTGTACAACTGGACCCCACTTGCTAAGTTTTCCGTCGCTTATTCAATTGAGTCATTCAAAACCATTTGGCGCCACAAACCCTGTGGTTATCAAAATGTTTTGTTCTATCGTTCTTTCAATGAATAAAAACACATTGGCAATTTCCGATGCCGAACGGCGCTAACAGTTATGAACTTTATCACCGTTCATTCTTCGTTTCGCATCTTATTTAAGCTATCTCTAGTTTCGTCAGTATTCAGACGCGATGCCGGAAGTCATTGAGTGACAATAAATCCCAGCTTCCGGTTACACTTCAAAAACATTCTTTTGGTAATTTTCTCAAATGGAAATGTTTAAAGTTTCTTTTAAATATTGCACAACTTTGAGAATCAATAAAACTGATTCAATCACAAATATTTTTAACCGATTTGAAAACAACAGTTTCAAAAATAGGCGTTAAAGATTTGCGTGCTTTTTGTTAGTCAAAGAGGGGGGCGACATGTTGCAAGTTTTACTAACGTTCGTTATTATTTCGGGGTAGGCGAGAGGTTGTAATTCGTCCTTGAACGTATGGCAGCTTAGAGATTAACTACGCATATGGAAATATCAAGAACACAAAAATATGATTCTTTCCTACTATTTATATATAACATTACATGGGTCAAATGAGTTAAAAGTAAGTTTTAGATGCGAGTATTCAGCTCGCTTATCCCCCTCCCCTCCCATCCAGAACTTTTCTGCATTCTGGTGTCATCTCGTCACAGTGTCAGACTCTCAGACAGGATGTCGCCTGTAATGTGACGTCACACTAACTTGGGCTTGCTTTTTTAGGGAGGAATACTATTTGACAGAGGGTCTTGAATTGTTTACGTGTTTCGCTATCCGTATTTGCTCCTCAGCTTGGTTTTTGTTCGCCGTTAATCGAATTGCACAGTTATAAAAAGCCAAAGGCCAACATTTGTCGCCAGTGTGGCGCGGCTGTTTATTCACCTTACGCGTCGCCAGTAAGGCGCCATTGAAACATTCGCAAGTTTGGTCACCACAGTGCATGTTTGAGTCGGCAAACCCCTCTACCTATCTCACTCAACTGAGATTTGCAAAGTTTTTCGTCGAATTGTCTCATTACTAGCGTGTGACTGAGCATAAACCGCCGAGTAAGCACTCGGAATAACGGAAAAAAGTTGACAAGATGACTACGATGGCTTCGCTCTTCTCTTTCACCCCTCCTGCGGTGAAAAGACTTCTTGGCTGGAAGCAAGGCGACGAGGAGGAAAAATGGGCTGAAAAAGCCATTGAGTCTCTGGTTAAGAAGCTAAAGAAGAAAAAGGGCGCCTTGGAAGAGCTGGAAAAAGCTCTGTCTAACCCTGGACAACCTTCCAAATGTGTTACAATCACACGCAGTTTGGATGGCCGCCTTCAAGTCTCTCACCGAAAGGGTCTGCCGCATGTAATCTATTGTCGCGTTTGGCGATGGCCCGATCTTCAAAGCCACCACGAATTAAAACCTTTAGATTGCTGCGAATATGCCTTTGGGCTAAAGCAGAAAGAAGTCTGTATTAATCCCTACCACTACAGACGTGTAGAAAGCCCAGGTGAGGCGAGACAGACAGCTTTAGTTATTATAGAGAAATAAGTACCTCAAAGCTTTGAAGTACTAAAGTGTCTTGCGAATATTACGCTATTCATAATTTTCTTCTACAATGTTTAGCATCGTTTGTTCTATCAATCAGCTGATCAAGATGATTCGTAGGCGAAGTTTAGCGCACTGAAACATTTTGCCCTTGTAACAATGAATAAACGCAAGTGGATATTTTCCCTTTTATTGTTTCCACAGTATTACCACCAGTACTTGTTCCGAGGCAGAGCGAATATCCAAGACCTCCTCCACCACTGCCTTCTCCATTTCGAAGCGCCGAAGACCCACCGATGCCCTACAATGCTTCTTTTCCATTCCAAAATCGCCAAAATCAACTTGATCACAGTGCAAACACCTTTGATATGCCAGGTGATGAAAGATTCTTATTTGTTTTACTATTTCTCAGATTTGCACCATTTTGTTCATATTTTTAACTGCGTCGGCTACAATATTCAATATAAGAACTGGTTCTTTTTCTTGGCAACATATACAAATGCAACTTTTGAGCAATATTTCGAGATTTCCTTGTCAGGGTTTTTTTCTTCTCTTCCCAAAAGTGGACCATGCACGTGTTAGCTATTAAAAAGCTAATATTAGGGTTGGGATTTTAGCAGACGTTCCGCCAAAGGAGAAATGATAAAGTAATTATAGATGTGATATTTACACCCCTTTGTCTGCAGTTGGCATGTGTGACTGAAGATTGAATTGAAACCAAAGCAAAATATTCAACGTGTAAATTTTAGACTTCACTCACCCTTGCACTTATGCATGTTGGTAAATGAATTTTGTTTTGATATCATAATTTATGATTTTATGAAACGTTGCTTCATTGGCATAATCAGATGATATAAGCCTCAGGACATCAACATCGTAATATCTAGTTTGGTGACACTGTTGTGTCAAAATTCCAACATGGTCAACATTTTGTTTGCTAAATATTTGTTGGGAAAAAATGAAATTCGATATCTCTTGTGAAAGATTTGCTCCTGCAGTTACTGCAGCCTAATTTGTTTTCTTTCGTTTTTCTACCTTGCAACATTTATGTAAACTGCAAACGGGAAATCTGACAGGTGCTCGCCATTTCATAGCAGCAAATTGTAAAAATTTAGATGCAAAGAGTTCTGTTTTTGATTTAAGACCCATGCAGAGAAAGAAAGGGGCTATTTTGCCTGTTGTGAAGGCTTCCAAAGAATTAAAATCAGATCAAAATTTTTGGATTTCCTTATGGACATCATTCATTACCCTTGGGCAGTATTCATTACCCTTGCTTTTCTGGGGGTTTCTCTTTCAGTGTAGTTTTAATCTATGAACTTGAGTGAAATGTGTAGTTTGTTACTCAACAAGTTTTTTGTATGATTAGATCAAGAGGTATGGGTATTTTTTATATTAGTGGGTGGTCAACTAGACTAGGGATGTTATTGTTGTAGACAGTCTTCAAGAGTCCTATATTGCCTTCATCTACACAATACTTTAGCAAATGATGACAGTTTATTTTTGGAGTTGTTACGTTGGAACTGATACACAAAAAGTAATCTATCAGCTTGCTCTGTTTGATGAAACTCACCGCAAAATTCTTGCAAGCTGCACATCTAAGAATTTGTAATTTTTTTGATAACCCTACGAATTTGAGGTATCTTTACCGCAAATACAAGTAACAGTTGTTCTGTGAGAGGGCTCACCCTTTGCCCTCCTTAAAAGTGACTAGCATCTAATGTCTCCTTACATTCTCACCCGGAATCACACATTAAGGTCATGAGACTAAATGAATGATCACCAACTAAAGAGGCTCTTGATTGTGAAACAATTTCTCCTTGTCAGCACCTTAGGGAATGTATAGAGAACAGTATGGAGAATATGCATACTGATGTAAAGGTGGTGTAAAGGTTATAGGTTTCTGGGGAGTTCTTTTAACATATTTATTTCTTTTCAAGATTCAGTGAGATTTTGAAAAAGTGTTTATTCGTGGATTGTATCTAGTCAGTTGCACAATTTTTTTACCTCAACTGGTAGTCACATTAGTCTTTGGTTAGAGAAGTCCTGTTTCAAGATCTGGCATGATCATATAATCATGTTCTCAGGCACAAATTGTACTCACCTTATGGGCTTATTTATTCCAAATTACATGAGAAAAATCATGTGATTACATACTAATAATATATGTGAAAAAATATGAGATAGTTTATCATAATTATGCAGAAGCAAAGTGTGTGCATCAAGTGCAAAAATAATGTATTCAAACCGTGCAAGTGACATTTTGCGTTTGGTCAAAGTAACCATGTACGATCAAAACAATAATATACAATTATTTTTTTTACATCTTAAATGAGCAAAAAAGTCCAAAGTCTGGCTAAACAGTTAGAGGAATTGTTCAGCCTGGTTTGTTACTTCTTTGCACTGAATTAACCTTTTACATTGAATTACCTGAAAATTGCATTTATCTTAACCAATCAGAACTGAGTAATTTTTTCATGTATCTTATTAACATCTAAATAGTATGGCAACTTCTAAACTGGATCAAAAGTTTTTGGCTAACCCCTAGTTAACTAATTATGCTTTGATTGTCATGATCCAGGGCCTAGCTTCTCAAATGCTGTTTGGTGCTAACCACAAGTTAAATTTTTATCCAGGTCTCTTCAACTTTGTTATTTCAAAAGCCTCTTTTTGAATAATTTCCTCTTTTCTCTTAAAAGCATCCATTAACCAAATTATAGACAAGAAGAATTATGGTGAATTTTCCCTTGAAGCTTTTACATCTGAAATAAGATTTCACACAAACCTTGGGTTACCTTAACCCCAGCTTTGAAAAACATAAACAAGGAGTATAAATGAGTACTGGAAAATTGTCAAGGAAAGGTGGAAAAAAGCTGGGGGGGGGGGGGGGGGGGGAGGGTGGAGAGAACCCCTGAAGGATTGGCATCTATCATAGTGAAGAACCTGTGGTAAAACTCACAGGTGTGGGACTCTTTCTTAGTGTCCAGGTTTTCTTGACCCTTTCACTCTCAAAATCTGAAATTGTTAATTCTCTCCTCTAGCTGCTACACATTGCCTCGTGAATTATTTACAAGAATATGGTGTTAGATCAAGATAACAACTTTTACTTGATAAGATTGAGAATTCTCATTACCTGTTTCCTATACTATGTATGGATATTATTGGAGAAGTTACATGTTAATTACTAGGGAGTTTTGGGGTGTATGTCCTCCCTTCCTGCAGTAAAGTGAATTTTAAACAAGTTGGTTTCTATTGCAGACACACCTACAGGTTATATGTCTGAGGATGGTGGATCTCCTCGTCCTGTTGACCCAAATGCAATGGAAGTGGACAATGTCAACTCCCCACCAGCTGTGTCACCACAGACAGGTTAGTGGAAAACATAAATTTCTCTGAATTTTCTTGTTTGACTATTTCACAGTATTGTAGGGTATTTGTTGATTAAAATATTTTTGAAAAATATTGCACTGTGACAGTGCATTCCAGAGGTTAATGAACTTAACTTGAAGTCTATTTATTAACATTTCCACATTTTCTGTTATTTGTTATTCACAGATTTGCGACATGTTACCCCAGTTAATTACCAGGAGCCATCTTCATGGTGTTCAGTCTCTTACTATGAGCTGAATAACAGAGTTGGTGAACAGTTTCAAGCAAGCTCAACCAGCATCTTTGTAGATGGATTCACAGATCCAAACACAGCAAATTCAGAGAGATTCTGTCTGGGTCTGTTGTCTAATGTAAATCGCAATTCAACCATTGAAAGTACAAGGCGACATATTGGTAAAGGTGTGCATCTGTACTATGTGGGTGGAGAGGTTTTTGCTGAATGCCTCAGTGACTCTGCCATCTTTGTGCAGAGTAGAAATTGTAACCACATTCATGGCTTTCATCCAACAACAGTGTGCAAGATTCCTTCAAGTTGCACACTTAAAATTTTCAACAGCCAAGAATTTGCCCAGTTGCTCTCACAATCTGTCAATTATGGTTATGAGGCAGTGTATGAGCTGACAAAGATGTGTTCCATTCGTCTGAGTTTTGTCAAAGGCTGGGGAGCTGAGTATCATCGCCAAGATGTTACCAGTACACCATGCTGGATTGAAATCCATCTCCATGGTCCCTTGCAGTGGCTTGACAAGGTGCTGATTCAGATGGGGTCACCTCGAAATCCAATTTCTTCTGTTTCCTGAGAACTTTAGTGTAGTTAATTTGGCAGCAGTGCATCATTGGCATTGTGTTATTTGGGTAGTTAGGTTTATGCTGTTGGCTTTGAAAGCAGTTTATGAATCAGTGTTTTAAACTTTATTTGCTCCTTTATATTTGTGTGGTTGTGTTGTTTTGCTAAATCTATTGAGACCTGGAATTCAGGCTTTGATGAGCAGGTTTTCTCTAAAGTTAAGGAGCAGTGCTCACAAATAGTAAACATAACAGTTGTTTTTACTATACATATTCCATACTTTTTGATTCAAATGAAAGTTTTCTTTATTCTGACAAAAGAAATCATATTATCATGGTCCTCATATGTTATTATTATGCTACCCTGTCGTATGCAAAATATTTCTTGTTTCATCATGAATACATATTATAAATATACTCTCTTGGTTAATGTTTGAATGCTATATTTGCTTTTCTATTACCTCCCTCCATCTGACAGTGAAATTTCCTTTTTTGAGGTTTCTCATCTTTTTGTCTGTTAGTTTTTACACCTGTGGCCTTATACACATGAATTTTTTCTTTCATCCTTTGCATTAGTTTCTGCTTCTCAAAATAATGGCATCATATGGAGGTGAATCATTTTTGGAGGAGGGGGGTGGGGGGGCCAAAAGCTTAACCTTTTCACTCCAAAGATCTGACTAGTAACTCTCCCTAGTAGGTGTTAGACAATTTCTTTCAAATTAGTTAGGAGAAGTGGTAAAACACGACACCAGCTGATTTTGGTGAAAGGTATGTCTAGTGATAATTAACAACTGCTGTAACAAAGATGAAATAAAGAAATCTTTTCGTGAATGAAATGTCTAAAGCTTACATCTATTTCAAGGCAGATATATTTTACCCGATGGGTAAGTACGAAAGGCAGGACGAATCGTTCCCAACTACCTTGCCACGCCCATCTACTCCTTGGGTCTGATACAAAAGAGTCATTTGTAAATGAATTTCGATGGGAATTCGACTGCGCGAAGCTTTTTTTAACAGGACTTTTTTTCATTTGAGTCGTCTTAGTAGTTTTTACTTTCGCGTAGTTACGTAATATGCTACTCTGCAACATTTGTGCATAGTTCCGCACTTCATTATGCAAACTGTTCTTAGATTTAGAAACAATGGCGAAAAAGATATAACTATAAGACTACGACTTTGTTTTTTAATAGAGTTAACAAGTGGAGTTCGTGTTTTAAGATGAGAGTGAGGCGAGGCCTTGGAGAGAAACAAAAAATGTGGGTTTTCACGTTGCTTTGATGTAACATTTACTGTTTGAAGAAAGTCGTATTGAAGCGAACTCCGAGGTTAACGTATACACGTTATGAATCAGGATTTTTGTCGAATTCGATACTTTTTCACTCGGTTTCATAGTATTTGGAGTTCAGGGGTGAAGATATCGGCCCGTTTTTTTAAATTTATTCATATATTTTGAAGTAGACACCAAATATGGTGCTTGAAGGTTTGTACATAGAACTTGTTACTATTCTCTGAGGAAATGCTGGGGAAAGGTTGTGAGTGGTACTTAAAACAACTGAATGCTTAATATTTTTTCTATCAATTTTTTTTTTTTTTTGTGGCTCAAACAGAGCAGAAAGAGTATCTGGCTGGTCAATCTTGTTACATTGCTTGTACTGTTGCCTCTTTCAACCTCCCCTCCCATCTAAAACATTTGCATATTACTTTGACGTAAACATCTGTCTGGGAGGTAAACACTTCTATGTTTAAGAGTGACGTACAAATTGCTACAGTTCTTCTATCTAGATTAAACTTCAAAAGGAAAGAAACAGGTGTCGAAAAACCTACACTACAGCGTTTTAATTGTTTCATTATAACGCACAGACTACAACAGCAAACCAGCGATTGTACCACGAGATGTCTACGCTGTTTTCGTTTGCGCACCCTGCTGTCAAGAGAATACTTGGTTGGAAGCAAGGCGACGAGGAGGAAAAATGGGCCGAAATTGCAATTTCATACTTGGCTAGAAGGCTCAAAAAGAAGAAAGGTGCTATGGAGGAGCTGGAAAAAGCGCTTTCCAACCCGAATCAACTATCACAATGCGTTACTCTCCCTCGAGGCACCGATGGACGAATTCAAGTTCGTCACAAGAAAGGGTTGCCTCATGTTATCTATTGCCGCATTTGGCGATGGCCCGATCTCCAGAGTCCTCACGAATTAAAGGCACTGGATTGTTGCGAATATGCTTTTGGTTTGAAAAAGAAAGAAGTCTGTATCAATCCTTTCCACTATAGTCGCGTGGAGAGCCCAGGTGAGTCAGACTGAAAATTAGAGAGATTGAGAATTTGGATTAATTAAGATAAAATACAACTCACTTATACGTGTTTGGACATGTACATTTATTTGTTTCCTGACCTAAAAACCTGCCTAAAATTTCTTATCTTATTATCCATTTTTGTCTTTTAAATTTCAAACGTATCAAGAAGTCAAAAATATTCTTTCATCGAAAATGTTAGTTTGTATACCATTTACCCCCCCTAGTTTTTTAATGTTTTTTTTTTTTTGCGTATTCACAATCATTAATTGCAATGTAGGCAGATTAAAAATATTGCTCCTCAGTGCAGCTGACTACAAAGTGTGGTTTAAATGGTGACACTGCATCTAGCTAGATGTCACCATAAATTTTGTGTTTACTTTTTTTAATTAACTTACATTTTGTTAGAAATAATGTTTTGACAGTAAACACCATGAATAATGGGTGTTAATGGAGGGGGGGCATCATAGCAGGGGACACAGTCCTTTCTAGCAGACAAAAGCCAACTGCAATCAGATGATAAGAGTGGAACACATTTCAAGCAGACTCCCTACTCCTGTCATTTTGTTGTAACCAAATCTCCTTTTTCCTCGACGCAAGCTTTTATTTCCCCCAGTCTTCTTTCTCCCCCTCCCTGCCCCCCTTTCCAAATTCCTTATCATCCATCTTTTCAGATAATTTTTTGCAAATAAGCAACTTAAGATGTATTGCTTCTCCCCTTTGATCATATGCCAATCCAAAATGCAATTTACCCCTGAGCGTAATTTTCCTCTACATGATACCTTAAAACTGTCAGGGGAACCATACTACTTGGTTGAAAGGGACATTGAGAGAGTAAAGAATCTGGTCTAACAACACAACACAGTGAGCCTACCAAGTTATGTACAAGCTGGACCAAGTTATGTACAAGCTGGACCTTTTAGTGATCCGTGGTTGATTCCACAAACCCTTGGAACTGTGTCCCTCTTACAATCAGTTGATAAGCTTTAATCATTTTATGTTCTTATTCTCCCAGTGTTACCTCCAGTGTTGGTGCCACGGCAAAGTGAATACCCAAAACCTCAACCACCCTTACCGCCCCCATTTCAAAGTGCAGCAGAACCTCCATTGCCATACAATGCTTGTTTCCCTTTCAAACAACAAGCACGTAGGCCTGAGGGCAGCATGAACATGTACATGGCAGGTAACTGTACTTTTCACTCATTTTAAGGTATCTTTCTTTTGGTTAACCATTCTTTATGAAGACTCCATTTGATTCATTAAAAATGTATTGAAAGGGGAAGCAAGACAAACCATCTCTTATTCATGTATGTTGGGCTAGATTCCTCTCCTTCACATCCCCTTTAGGTGGGGGTGGGGAACATATGATTTACTTGACCCCATCCTTGTAGAAAATAAGTCATGAGACTTTTGCAATACATGAATAAATTCTCCTCCCAAATTACCTGCTGTTTGCCCAAACAACCAGAAGAAAATTTGGCACTGATTGAAAAAGTGTTGAGAGACTTCAGTCAAGTACCTCTAAAATACATAGTATAATGTGCAGCTTTCTCTTTTTCTTTACTTAGAGTCACCCAAAAGTTATATATCAGAGGATGCAGAATCACCATGTCCTACAGACCCAAATACTATGGATGTAGATGTTGTTGGATCTCTGCCAACAATGGTGAACCAACCATGTAAGTCAACAAAATATTTTTGTTACTGATAAATAGAAGTCATCAATGAGCATTACATCTTTGTTTCTTTGTTTACAACTTGTTTGAAGGTTAACCCTTTGATATTCAGGAAAGTGTTCTTGGTTGTTCTTATTTAGGTCCATTTCATGCACCACACTTTTCATGTGCTGAACCTAATATTATAAGTAGATTAGATGAAAGTTTGATTGAAAAGCCCAAGTTCAATTTTGAGCACCTTATAGCCTTTCTTTATTCTTGGATTAGCAGGGAATTATGATTTTGCATTGCCTTTGGAATGTATTTGATTCATAGCTTAGGCCAAACAAAATTCATGCATAATTGACTTGTTTTGAATATGCTGTTCTTCTGAAACTATTTTGGGGAAAGGTATGATAGCTGTTTAAGTTAAGCATCAACAGTAAGACTAGTGTAATTTTTTAAATTTGGAGCAGTCCAAATCTAAATTAACCCTTTAACTCCTAGAAGTGATTAACAGGTAACTTCTCCCTACAATATTCATACATTATCCAGCAAAAAGGTGATGAGTATACTCAAACTAATCTGGTAGAAATTGTTATCTTGATCTCACACCAAACTCTCCAAACTAATATACAAGGAAATGTATAGCAGGGAGAGGGGAGAACTAACAATCAGATCTTGGGAATTAAAGGGTTGAGATTGGCTCATGAAAAGTTGGGGTCATAACCTGGCCTCATAAATAGAAATTGAGTTGAAGTTGTAACTGGAAGATGTAATTCACTCTCTTGCAGATTTATCTCATGTTACTCCAGTAAGCTATCAAGAACCAATATCATGGTGTTCTATCTCTTACTATGAGCTGAACAACAGAGTTGGAGATCAGTTCCATGCTTATCGTAACAGTATCATGGTAGATGGATTCACAGATCCAAACACCAAAAACTCAGAAAGATTCTGTTTAGGTCAATTAACCAATGTCAGTCGTAACTCAACCATTGAGAGTGCAAGGCGACATATTGGAAAAGGTGTGCATCTGTACTACGTGGGTGGAGAGGTTTTTGCTGAATGCCTCAGTGACTCTGCCATCTTTGTGCAGAGTAGAAATTGCAACAACAGCCATGGTTTTCACCCTACAACAGTGTGTAAGATCCCTTCAGGCTGTACCTTGAAAATTTTCAACAACCAAGAATTTGCACAGTTGCTTTCTCAGTCTGTTAATTATGATTTTAAGGCTGTATACGATTTGGTAAAGATGTGTTCCATTCGGCTGAGTTTTGTCAAAGGCTGGGGGGCTGAGTATCATCGCCAAGATGTTACAAGTACACCGTGCTGGATTGAAATTCATCTGCGTGGTCCTCTGCAATGGCTTGACAAGGTGCTGACTCAGATGAATACAGAAGGAATGAATTCAACAAACTCATTTGATTGATCTGTGTAATCTTATATGTTGTTCCAGGAAATATCCATGCATTAACATGAATCAAGTTTTGGTTTAAAAGGTCCCCCCTTTCCCTGACTCTGAACAAATTCCTTTGCCTCCTCTCCCCCTCCCTTACCACCACAGGCATAGTTGGGTTAAGTCACTGCCCCTTCCATAATCATCTGCCTTCTTGAGTGGTGTAATTCTTTTCCAATCAAATATATTGACAATCAAACTTGTTTTCTATATATCTGGTCAGAGAAATGTAAGAAATCTGCAAATAATTGCTTCTTAAACAATAGCTGAAGATAACTCATACTGAGTACATTAGTGGGAAAGGATTGTTTGCTTTTGGTCAAGCTTGTAAGAGGTAATTACTATAAGGGTGGGCATAGATGTTTCCTGGGAAAAAAAAGGCTAGAGTCTGTACTGGAGCCAAGGGGTCCACCCGTCCAGGGCTTATCCCCGTTTTCATGTAGCATGAAGTGACTAAGAGTATGACTTTCTCCCCCCTGAATGATGTGCCAATGACCCAGCCATGTGTTGAAACCAGGACCTCTCAACCCCAAGACCAGCACACTTTTAACTATCAAGCTCACCATGTCTCTTACAGATGTTTCCTTGAGTAAAGCATCCAAAACAATTATCATACTCGTATGAACTAGATAACAAACCAGCAAAATTAATTGGACTTCTATTGTATTCCTACCTCATGATTTAGTTAACGTCGTAAATACTGCCATAATTAAATCACAAAAAATTAAAAATTAAACTAAGGAGGTAGCGTGGCCAAGTGGCCTTAAGGGTCTGGATGGCATTGTCTGTTTTAGATCTAAACCTTGCAAACTTCCCCCCCCCCTCCCTTCTCCATCAGAGGTGAAGGGGTTCCCCTAATGATGTAATATATTATAACAATATTGTTGTTTTTAGTGAAATTATGAGGACTCATCTTAGCTTGTAAAATCAAGCAATGATTATTTAAGATTTTATAACTATTACTCTTGGATTCAGATCATTTACTCTGTAATATACTGTATAAAGTTTTTTTTCTCATGCAACTGTAACTGCATGCTTTCTGTGTGAAGTTTAAAATCAATTAAATTAAAAAAAAAAAAAAAGACCACTTCTGCATTGAGGTTGGAGGAATAAGGTAATTGGTACATTTTTTTTAAAGTTTGTAACCCAGAACTTGGGTACTTGGATGTTATGCAGTAACTCCTCATCGTCCTTGTGACGCAGAATTTTACGCTGAGTCCAAGTATGAATTCCTCAGCTACAAATGATCAGAGTCAGAAGTCTATTGTTGCCAATCCTGTGTGTTGGTTCCTCTGTGTCGTTTCCCGATTCGGCTCATGTATTCCAGATATCGTTCAGCGGCATGTACCAGCGAGTTAGTGTCCATCATGTAATTAGGACATCGAAGAAAATGGCGGCGGATTTCAAGTAAGTGTGCTGCCTCTTCGATCGAGTCGTTTAGCAATCAGTTTTCGACATTCACTTTACTCTTTGCATCTTCACATTATAGGACTGCACAGCCATTAGAATATTACAGGCAGTTTCTGGTGAGCAAATCTTTCGTATAAGTTGAAATACAAGCGTGCTGAACGGTGCGGCTGAAAAAATATATCTTGTTTTAAGCCAGGGTTTATGTCCATTTAAATGCACGCTAGGAAGTCTTCATCTTTTCATTTTAATTTGTAGAAGGAGGATGTAAGGCCAGATGGTCGTGCACTCTTAGAGTTTAGAAAAACGATTCTCAATGTTGGTAAGATGAGGTCTTTTTGTTTCCTACGTTTTGACACTTTTCATACCATGTGAATTTTTACGTTCTTTGGGCTTATCTTAACAATCTTTCAATGATTTTTGCTAGGTTCTATATCGACAGCCGAGGGATCGGCTTTGGTTAAAGTTGGAAACACGACAGTTGTCTGTGGAGTCAAAGCAGTTAGTATACACTGCTACCATACTATCACGATGTATTTCTTTTACCCTCCTACGAGTGACTAGCCTCTAATTTCTCCTTACAATATCACCCCTGAGTCACACATTAAGGCTATGAGAATTTAGGAAATCATCACCAACTTTAGAAGCTTCTGACTTTTAGGCAAATTCTCCTTGTCAGCAACTTAGGAAATGTATAGGGAATAGTATGGAGAATATGCGTCCTGATGTTAGTGTGTAAAGGGTTAAAGCTGAAGCTGAAAGTTAAAGCTGAAGCTGAAAGTTAAAGCTGAAGCTGGAAGTTAAAGCTGAAGCTGAAAGTTAAAGCTGAAGTAGGGAACTTCAGCTGTCATATTCTGCTTTCCATTACTAAGGAAACTCTAAATTTACCAAAGTTTAATGTTTTAATGTTTTATGTTTACATGGTAAACTAAGTAAATAATAGGCATTCTTACCAAAATTAAGGCTTTTGTCAATTCTCATCCATAGGAGTTTGCTGTGCCAAGTCAGGATAAACCAAAACATGGTTTCATAGGTCAGTAATAATGCTAATGGTGATAGTGATGAGATCACACAAAGGAGCTTGCTGGTGTTTACATCTGCATCTTTTGGAATAACAGTCAACAAAGAACTCAAACCTCAACTTCTATGCCATCACTATGTTTTCACAATTTAACCCTTGAAACCCTAATTTCTCCATAGAGTAATACTGCCAAATAATTCTGTAAGATCGTGAGAATAAAGGGAATTATGACCAACCTAAGAGGCTTTGATTGTAAAAGGAATTCTCCTTGTCAGTACCAAACGAAATGTGTAGAGAAGAGTATGGAGAATATATATATTAACATTAACCCTTTAACTCTTATGAGTGACCAAGACAGAATTTCTCCTTACAATATCAATACAATATCAAGCAGGCAAGTGATAAGAATATAGAAAAAATCTTAATTAAGGGATTATTTGTTGATCCAATACCAAATTATCCAAACTAGCATCACAAGAACTGTATTGCAGACAGTAAGGAGAATTAATGATGAGATCTTGGGCATTCAAGGGTTAAGGTGTAAAGGGTTTGGCTATGTCTCCCTTAACCCTTTCACTCCCAAGATCTAATTAGTAATTCTCCTTACTATCTGCCATACAATTCTTATGATATTGGTTCAGAGAATTTGGTATTGGATCAACTAATAATCCCATAATTGATATCCTTCTCTATTCTCATCACCTACCTGCTTGATATTGTATTGATATTGTAAGGAGAAATTCTGTCTTGGTCACTTGTGGGAGTGAAAGGGTTAAGTAGCAAGGTAAACCTCTTGTACTTTTGAATCAAGTAAATAATTATCATGCATATTTTTTGATTTTCAAATATGATTGAAAAAGATGACAAATTTATTAATTTAAAATTTGTGCATTTAGTTCCTAATGTAGATTTACCTCCTCTTTGTTCCTCCCGTTTTCGCCCGGGTCCTCCTGGTGAACAAGCACAAGTTTTGAGTCAATTTCTGGCTGATGTTATCTCCAAGTGAGTACCTGAACATGGAGAAGGATAGATTTGAAACCTTTTGTTTCTTTGCTATCATTTCCATGGTAATCAGTTTTAGTACAATTTGGGGAAATTGAGTGTTTTACTGTTTGCATTATCAGCTGTGAACCAATCAATCTGGAGGACTTGTGTATTGTGGAGGGCAAGGTAGGAAGCTCCTTTCATAGTTCTGATGTGAGCTGAATTTACATTGGATGTGTTTACAGAGTGCAAAATAATGGCAGGTCATTGGATATCATCAAAGTCAAATATGGGTTTTTGTCTAGGTAACTCCTTGGATGGCAGGATATTTTGTCGTGTTGTTTACCCATGTAATGAAGATTTAAATTCCAAGCTAATTTCAGGTTTTAGATACAGCTGTATCACTTTTCCTGCACTGAGTTCAAGGCTACACTGTGCTTGTTTTATAAGAAGGGGAATGATTTATGAGATATGATGTGATTTATCTGTTTGTCCAAAAATGGGTGGTGTTCAGACAAAAATTTTTTTTTGTGCCTTGTCTTTAAAAAAAAGATGTGCCATGGTAAACAACCTTTTGTAAAGGAATTTTTTTTCCACCTCCTAGCAAGTATAAATTCACTATAAATACACTGTGCTTGTTTTATAAGAAGGGGAATGATTTATGAGATATGATGTGATTTATCTGTTTGTCCAAAAATGGGTGGTGTTCAAACAAAAATTTTTTTTTTGTGCCTTGTCTTTAAAAAAAAGATGTGCCATGGTAAACAACCTTTTGTAAAGGAATTTTTTTTCCACCTCCTAACAAGTATAAATTTGAATTTGTACCTTGGAATCTCCCATCCCCCACATATCACAAGACTATCCTACAGGTACTTCCTGCTTCTGTCTTTTAACTTTGCTTTTTCTTCCAGTTGTCATGGGTCCTGTATGTGGATATTATGTGTCTTAGTTATGATGGAAATATAACAGATGCATGTCTCATAGCTGCTATTGCTGCCCTCCTAAACAGTGAGTAATATTCCTTTTTGTGTTGGCACTAGCCAAAACACATATGGTCCTTTCTGTTTTGGAAGCTTTCCTTTACAGTTAATAGAACTTTGTTATTGACATTTCAGTACATTAATATTAGGTACTTTAGAACAGTAACATGGCCATTCGAATTACCTAGAATGATTTTGCTTTCCAGCACACCTTCATTCAGTGACAATAGATGAAGAAACACAAACTCCATTACCATCTGAAGAGAGAGAAGTTCTGTTGAACCTCAGGGCACATCCTGTCTCTGCTACACTTGGTGTATTTGATGAGTAAGTCATGGTAGCCTGTACAGTCAAACAAGTCTTTTAACAAGATGCATTTTCTACTGACGACAACAGTGTTATGTCTTGACTTAATTGTGAAATCCAGCAAACATTGATTTCTTTTTTCCCTTGTAGCACAGTATTGTTTGCTGATCCAACAGATGAAGAGGAAAATCTAGTGACTGGAATTGTGACAGTAGTTATCACAGATGATGATAAAATTGCAGCAGTTCATAAACCAGGTAACATGTGCTTTAATAATAATAATAATAATAGTCTTTATTCCATCATAAGATAAAACTACATATCTTATGTTACAATGAATTGAAAAAACTACAGAAATCTACATACATATTATGAATTAAAAAGTATATCATTACAATAAATGGAGCTTAAATATCAACCTATTTACAAATGTGTTCATAAAGCGCTGTGTATTAATTTTCGGGCGCGCGCAGCCTTTTTCCTGAGATTGTGTAGATATGTCTTTTGGACAGGAATGATATCTTTCAGGGGGTGGCAATCCGTTGATTTTAGTTTCTTCAAAATATTTCTGTCTTGTTTGTTTAAAAGGTTCTTGATAAAAACTGGAAATGAGATAAAACCGCGTTCATGACATCGGTCTAAAAATTTTTGTACAACCGTAAGATCGGACTCAGATGCCCCATAGACTGAAAGTGCATAGCTAAAATTAGCCAAAACAATCGATATAAAAAGATGATCAATCTCTGCCTGAGAGTAATGTTCCTTTCTCAATGTTCGTAGGACGTGTAAACACTTGTTTGCTTTGACAAGCTTAGTTCTTACATGCTCATCAAATTTTCCATCACTCTGTAAAGTTACTCCTAATAAAACGAAGCTATTACATTGGGGAATATTATTAATTGGAGAGTAGAGTACATTATGATTTTTCTTTCTAACAACCAGCTCTTTACATTTGCAAGGGTTGCAGACCATTCTATTGTCTTTACACCATGTTAAGAACTGTCCTACTAAGTCGGCAGACGGGTCACTATTCCTAGTGATAGGCGAAAGAATAGTGGAATCATCGGCATATTTAAAAAGCACAGGGCAACCATTAAAAAAAATCTCCAAATCGTTCAAAGATATATTAAAAAGATACGGTCCGCTTACACTACCTTGTGTGGTTCCTCTATTGACAAGTTTCCACTGTCCTAAAAAATTATAACTAACAACACGCTGTTGTCTTGCATAGAGGAAACTATGATACCAATTGATAATGTACGGATTTAGAGGTAGCTGTTTCAGTTTGGCAGACAAAATAGCATGGTTCACAAAATCGAAAGCCTTACTGAAGTCCATGGTAAAAATTCGCACTGCGCTATAGTCACTACTATCTAAATACTTGTATGTCTGGTGCTGGATAGCGAGCAAGGCATTTGTGCAACTACCCGCCTGTCTATATGCAAATTGGGTGTGGCTCAGGTTGCTCTCAATGACTGACTGTGCTTGTGTACGATACACGACCTTCTCAAACAACCGGGCAATAACGGGAGTAACATTAATACCACGGTAGTCCGAGTCCTCTATAGGCATATTCACTTTGGGGAGAGGGTTAACATTTGCCCTTTTCCAGGAGTCTGGCCATGTATGAGTAGACAGCGACAGATTCCAAACGTGAGTGACGATTGGTGTGAGTAGCTCAGCACAGTCTTTCCAGATCCAGTACGGGAGGTCGTCTGGTCCCGTTGCGGTTTTCTTTACATGAACTAAGGTATTCCAGACACACCGCTCAGATATTTTCGGGGGCTTTACACTGTCCGGGATATCCATATCACTAGGTCTAACGTAAGTGTCATCATAGCACAGGTTGGCGAAGTAGTCGTTCAGACGAACTAGAGAGTTCTTGTCCAAATTTATCAACGATGACCTGCGACGCTGCGATAGGGCGTCCACGCCCTTCCACCACTCACCGCTACCAATGGCAGCCAGTTTTCTTCTGTTCTCGGTTATCAGCTCAGAAATGCGCTTATTAAATAAAGACAGGCGTTCCTTATTCTTTGAAGATATATGGGACTTACTCCTCAGCATACACTTGACTAATGGGGACATCCAAACTGGGTCACGCGACGACATGCGTACAGATTTTTGCGGCATAAACTTATTCATCACTGCCCGAATCTTTACCTCAAGCACCTCGACCGCCTTGTTTATGTCCACCTCATTGAGGACGTCACTCCAGTCCAGCGCAGTGAGTGCCATATAAAATGACTGTTTCCGATGTTCCCTACAGTCCCGCACAAGAACTTTGCGGCGCATAGGTTTAAGCTTTAATCCCGCCGGTAAAACAAAGCCTTCATGGTCTGTCTTAATAAGCATATGTATGGAATATGCTTGACCGAACAGATCCGCTCGGTTGGTCATACAGTTATCCAAGCACGCGTTACCCCGCGTGGGAAAATCTACCACGAAATCCCAGCCAGACAAAGCCTTAAATTCTTGCATATCCAAACGATTTACATCGCCACCACAGACAATAGCCGCTTCTGGGTGTTTGTTCAACACAATGTCCACAAAAGATATTATATAATTAATTAAGTCGAGATTCCGGTAGCTATGCTTGGGAGGATTATACAGGCCGCAAATTAGCATAATGTGACCGGACGGCAACTGCACTGTCAAAGCAATAAATTCATATAAATTGGACCGATAGACATCCAAGACTTTAAGACTGTCTCTCACATAGACCGCAACACCCCCTTTTTTCCTTTTGTCCAAGTCAGCCCAACCTCTGTCCCGCCTGAACACATTGTAATTTGGGATATTCACCACGGCGTCCGGCATATTAGTGGAAATTAGTGGCTTTGGTGATCTGACAATCTTGGGGCAGGCAAAAAAAATACTTTTACCCTTCAACACAGTTCAATTGCAACAACAACAACAGCAACCATTTTGTAAGCTAAAACTATGTTCAGTAGCAGTTTCAGTCATTGAAGTGATGGTGGTTGGGGGAGAATTCTTCATAACACTGTTGTTTTTTTTTTCTTCAAGGCGGATCACCCCTAGTGGATGATAAACTACAGGAATGCTTCAAAGTGGCAGTGAAAAGAGCAAAAGAAGTCAGAGATCTTGTACAAACAGCTTGTATAAATGTTGACAGATGATACAACATCCTATAGAATCTTGCTATTAAAAAATATTCTCTACATACATAACAATGACTTCATTCTTTGATTCAAACATTGGTAGATTTTGACGAAAAAGTCCAAGATTGTACGTTAGTGTCTAAAGTTGCATGCTGGTGTCCAAATTTGGACGGAGGTGTCTGAACTCCAAAAGTGTTTGAAATTGGACAGTAGTGTCTGAAAGGGGATGGAAGTGTCTGAAATCCAACGAAACAGTACAACATTGTTCAGAACCATTTATCTGCGGATGTTAGTACTCTTTCCAGCATTTTTGGGTCTAACAATCAACTAGTTTTCACTGGAAACAGTATAAGAGATCGCAAACTTTACTCTTGTTTTCCAGTAATAAACTCCATGATGGGGAAGGATTCTGACTTTATTCTACCAATTGTAGTATGACTCTAGGACTAAATATAATGCTGTCATTAAGAAAAGAGGGATGAGTCAGGTACCAGAGGATGTGCACTCTTTTGCTCTATTCCAATTTAATATTGACATATACATCTCAGCCAGGCTACATCAATTATTGAATCTTGCTGACACAAATATATTATACTATATTTTGACAATAAAAACTAACTACAGATACCAGTGAAGAGCAATTTCCAAAGTGTCTTTATACAAGCTTGTAAAAAGTCTTAATTATACAATTTAAACCATGATAAATACTGTTGCACAAGTTACTTATTTTGCGATCTTCGTCGCTGTGCTGGGGATCTTCCAGGTGTTCTGGCTGTTGTTTGTGCTCCTTGTGTTTGTTGAGTTACTTTGACTGTTGTGACTGGTTTTCCTTGGATCTTGGAAAAGGAAAAGATGAGTTATAATTAGAAATACTGCAAATGATTGAATAATCTAATTTCTTGCACTTCCTGACTGCAAAGTGGGATGGGGAGGCAAAGGAAAGAAGAGACCTACAAGAGTGGAGGGTTTCTTAGAAAGGAGGATGTAATAGAGTGGGAGGCTTATTAAAGCAAGAGACTCCTAAATGGGAACTTATTGAAGAGGGGAATAATGAGAAAAGGGGAAGTATTAGAAGCTTGTTCTTGGAGAAGGAGACTCATTATAAATGGGAACTTTTGAAGGAGAGCATACCGGAGAGGGAGAACTATCAGAGCTGGTGCTTAAGAGAGATGGGTACTTTTTAAGAGGAGAGCTCATAAGAGAAGGGAGCAAGAAAGATAGAAAAAGATGGAGGGGAAGAGTCATGACATACTTACCAAGGACTACAGTACAATGCAATTTTTTTTCTCTCAGTCAATTCTTTCAGGGACTGATTTTGTTGTTGTTCTTCATATTTTCAACGCAAGTGCAAATGATACCTACCTGTTGTAAACCTTGCACTACTTGAGCTTGCTGTGTGTTTATTTGGACAGGGGTTGCTCCTCTTGGTGACTGCACAATGGTGGGCTGTATCTGGGTGGGGCCACCTTGCTGTGGGAACTGCACCATTCGTACCTGAAATGGCTGCTGCTGAAGTTGTGTTCCAATTGGTACCAAAGGTTGCAGGTTTGTAGTGGTTCGGTTGACGGTGGATGTTAGTGCAGCTATGGCTGTTGGTGATGTTCCAGCTCCTAGTGGGAAATTGATGGTTATGTTCAGTTCCTTGAAGCCATGATTAAGAAACAATATACAGTGGATAACAAACTGCACTCTAAACCAATTACACACTGAAGTAAGGCAAAACTAAAGCTGTCCCTTTCAAGGATCGATTGCTCAATTACATGAAGCTAATTTTAAAAAAAATACCTGCATTGATCTTCCTTTGCTGTTGTTGTTGTGGACGAATGGGTCTTGTATTCAGAGTAACTGTAGCCATCCCTGAGGGAGGGGAGAGAGGTGTGTTTGGTAGAATAGGCTGTGGTTGGCCAGCAGGGGTACCCTGAGGAGATGTTTTCGCCTGTATCTGAGCATTGATGGTTGCTCCAGTTACTGACTGAATGTGGGTTATTGGAACCAAGTTACCAGGAATCTGAGGAAGAGAAGGAATACTTTTAGAAGTTGTGAATATTGAATATTGCTTTTCTACTCTAGTCAGGGGGAAAGTGCTATGCAGAATTTTAGAGGTTAATTGACAAAACTATAGATCCAATGAACAGAAGTTCTGATCTTAAATTTGTGATCAAACTACATACAGTAAAAGTTGTAGATGGAGATCTTGTCTGATGGACTATCTGAGCTTGTTGTGTTTGGATGTTTGTGGTGCCCTGTTAAAAGAAGAATGATATCAAATGAGTTAAAAGGCAGAGGTTTTCCACATCTCAGAAATGGCTTACTTAGCTTCAGTGCTGACTTAACCTACTTGACATTACCTGTAGTAGGGTGAGAGATGTCCCTGGTGCAGGTTGTAAGGTCTGATTGGCTGATTTCAAGCCTGTCGCGATGAACTGTGTTGGTAAAGGACCTGATGCTATGGCTACACTTTTGGAAACTGGAACAATGGGCGTGGCACCTGCTACTGTAACAGTTGCTCCAGCTGGGACAGTGACACTCATTCCTCCAGGACCAACAACTGGCTAATTGGATCAAATAAAACTGTTTTACAGCCAAACATTGCATTTGATAAATTTACACCTTAACTGACAGAGCTTGGAATCTAGACTCTTCATCAGATGACAATTCTTTGTATGGAGGTCGTTTTGCTGACCAATTGTTTTGCTTAGGACCAGCGCACTAACATCTTAAGTTGTTCCCTTAACATCTCAGGTCATTTTTCTACCATGTCATAGGTTGTTCTGCTAACCCTTTATGTAATTTCACTGACATCTCTTTCTACTTTTGTTTTCTTCAAACTAGCAACAAATAAAATGTTGTACCATAAACCCATGGCTATGATTGGCCACAAACGAACCAGGATCAACTGGTTGAAGTGGTCATTAGTGAAATGACTCACAGGTGATATGACCTGATACTTTCTCTTCACCTAAGAGCATAAATGGAAACCAATGAACTGTCAGGGGAGCTTTGCAAAATGCTGAAGGGTGATGTGCGAAGAAATAGCAATCTGCTCAGTGGACGAAGCAGTAGACCTGGTATGCATGGGCCACTTGTCTCAAGTTAAGAAGATGTTTTTTCATATCATAAAGTCACCTGCATGTAGGCTCCCACAACTCCTGTGTACCCCCCACTAGGTGTGGTGGGTGACTGTAGTGAGGTAGCAGTGTCTGGATGAGATATCCTTCTCCCTGTTGTTGGAACGGATTTGACAATGGAGGAAACAGGAACAGGTTTTACACTTGAGACTTGAAGTGTTGTTCCTGGCTGTGCTGTTGAAATGTACCGTGTGACTGTGCCTTAAAAGTATAAATTCCAATCAGTAACTGTAATCCAGATAAAACAAGTCAACAGACTGTAACGGGTAAAGAAATGATTGTTAAAGGTGGGCTGCAATAAGAGAAATTGTGCAAAAGAAACCTGGAAAATCCAGGCTTAAACACAAACCCTGATTTTTTTCACACTTCTTCTCTGCAATTTCTCCAGTTGCAGATCACCTACAAAGATCATTTCTTTGCTCGTTTGTCCTCAGCAGGTCCAAATATGATCATAATATGCCATAACACCCTGTTTTCATCTAAAAGTAGCCCCCTTGCATTCAAAAAGCAAATGTTGGGCATACAACTTAATAAATACCTGCTGTAGCAATCTTAGTTGTTCCACTAAGGGGCACACCAGTCCCACTTGGAACTGTGCCAACTACTGTTCCTTGCTGCTGAAACATTGCTAGCTTCTGTCCATAAGTGCGGACATTAGAAAGACTTTGTACAACAGGTACTTGAGACACTGCAGAGTTACCAGGTAACGTGGTGTGTGACCCTATTCCCAAATTATTACTCTGAATTACAGTCACAGTGTTTGTGGCTGTGGGTAGAGGTATTGCCACCTTGCCCTGTGTCTGGTCTTGTATATTTGGATTTCCAGAAACAGGAACAACAGTGGCTGTTGATGTCTGATTGGGATTATGTGCATGTGATGCCTGTTGACTGGCAGCAGCTGCTGCAGCTTGTGCCACCTGGTGTTGGCCAGGAATGTAGGTACAAATCTTCACAGACTTGCGCCCCTCCTCAGTGTACAAGTCTTGGAACTGCTGAAGATACCTGAGTGATAAGTTGAAGTAAAATCTCTAGCATATCCAGGTTCAGTTACTATATGGTAAGTTACAACTCTCTTTAAGTCAACAAGGTGATTAACAATCAAATTCTCCTCACAATGTCAATACATAATACAGCAAACTGGCAAAGAGAATACAAAAACAAATCATGAACAAGTAACCATTCTTTCCTTGTAAGGGATGCCAGTACATTTAAAGGTAATCCACATATACATTCCCTTCCCTTCCCTTCCCTTCCTTCCCTTCCCTTCCCACCTATTCCATGGCTTCAGCTTCCTGTATTTCCTACATTTCCTCAACTTACTCTGACAAAGGGCTAAGGCCTGAAATGTCAACTTGAGGAACTCTCTCCAGTGGCTAATGTGCATCATCAAATCAGCTGATAAAACCCAATTAACTCGCTTAATCTGAAGTCAAGTATGCAACTGCTACCCACTAGGAAACCATGTCTTCTTTGATTGAGTCATTTCTTGCTCATGTTACAATACCATCAGCACTCATTGAAATAAAGAGATTACATATTAACAGACCCACATTAACCACTCACTTTTGAGCTCCAAGTTTACTTCCAAGAAAAAAGTGACAGGCCTTTCCTGCCTTGTTGGATGCTGAAGTGTTTGTGTTTGGAACAGCAGGAGCCCCTTGTGTATTGCTTGTGTCTTCTTCCAGGTATAGTTCACCTAAGTATTGCAAGTCTGTTGGTCTCCGTCGAATAGTCACACGGCAGAAGTAATTCCTGTTATTGGTCTTTTCTCCTTCTAGTGTGACTTCCTGAACCTTTTCTGGTGTGTTATCAGCTGTCAGCTTTGGACGTTCAATTATTTTGGAAAACAAGTCAACCTACGAAAAATATTTAAGTTGTAAGGTGTGGCACATCCACCAAATACAGTGATCAAAAGTAATCCAGGACTCCTTTTAGTTTTGCTTCACTTTGGTCTGTAATTGGTCTAGAAAACTTGCGTCATGCTCTAAACTAATTAGACTACAAACAAAAACCAATTGTGACTTGGTTGCCTGCCATTTTCAGCAATTTTAGCAATTTGCCTATTTTAACTTTGAATCCTCAATAACTAGTGAGCCAGCAAAGCAGTAAATATTTGTTATGATCGACTGTTGTGATTACTTTGCTCTACATGTAAAAACAAATCTAAACTCAAAGTGCCCCATTCAGCCATAGTAGAAGCACTGGTAATAAATGTTGTGCTTCAGTCGCATGAATGCTTGAAATTTGTGGACATTTTAGCAAATCATTTCTATAAATGTACGTGTTGCATTCAGGGTGAAAATGTAAGTACACACTTGTTGGATGAGGTACTTAATAGCTATGAGGATCACTGTTCCTAGGATGACTTCTTGGTTTGGTCAGTACTTCAGCCACTTATTGAATGACAACATTTCCCACTTACATCAACCCTTGCAGGTGGTGAGA